ACTTCTAACACTCGTTGCTGAATTAAAGTTTTCAAATTAGAATTTTTCTTAATGCAAATAATTACGTCTCATATAAAAATGTGAAATGTTATAATACACAACAAAGTGTGTAGTCAATTATGATTTAGACTATGCCAAAATTAATCTTCTTTGCCAAGAATATCAGGTTTATCGTATTAGGGCATTTCATCCAAAAATTTTTGTAACTACAAACAATACCAATACTATGATAAATTAGCAGAACCTTTGTTCCTAGAACCTGCCGGGAGCTTCGCCACTTTTTTGTTTTGTTACCTAAATTGGGTATTGTGATATAGGCCCTTATGCTATGAAGTATCTGGAACACAAATTAATTTTAGAAAGGTACTACTATAGGCTGTTTCTTCTTTGAAATGTTGTTTATATGTAATGTTAAAAATGTGGTTTATAAAAGGTTAACCTTGGCTCTACCTTTGCCATTAAACACAATATTTTCTGTATGAGTGGGTGAAGACTATTTTCTCTGCTTTTATTTATACATATTAAGTAGCATTTTTGCACCAGTTTCACATGCATTAATTTGAGTTTAACGAAACAAAACCATTGGGACTCGATTTTGCTAACTTTATTGATGATTTTATTGTTAAAGTTAATTATTTTAAATAAGTATCAGAGTATTATTTCTATCTTTGTCTACTTGAGACCTAAACTAGACCTAGCTGTTGTAGAAAGAGTTGATGTACTCGTATTAACATAAGTATTTTCGACAGAAAACTTCTACGCTATGCCAGCTGAGATAAAAGTATTGCAAGTATACAGTGTGAGTCACGTTAAAGAGTACATATGAAAATAGATAAAACTAGATCTATTTTTATCGACAAAAAAGAGGTCAAATTTTTTTTTATTTTTTTTTTTATTTTTTATAGAATTTTTTTTCTTCCAATTACTTATTGTAAAGAAAACGTAATAACTTTTAAACTAAGGGGTATATCCTGATAAAATAAAAACATTAATAATGCTAAATAACAGGCGATACTGAAAAAATACATAAAATACCCAGAAAATGCCAACAAATAATAAAAAATTAGACTTTTTGAAAAAAATCTGCTAAAAAATTCGTATTTTTTTGGTTATTTGATAAATTTCTCAAAAAAATGCCCCTATAACAGGTGGTTTTTATTACTTTGTATTATTTTCAATCTTTTGTTTTTATTTGCAATCTAACTTGTTTTTATCAAAATTACAAATCTAGAGCCATTTTCATTTTCGTTGTTAACGAAGCGTTGAATGGCGCGCCCGGAGAGGCTTAGTTCAAACAATCATTGCAAACGTTGTGATAGGGATAAAGACATGCGATTTTTGGTCTTACAAAGGTAATACGATATAAAATAATACAAAGTAATAAAAACCACCAGTTATAGGGGCATTTTTTGGAAAAAATTATCAAATAACCAAAAAAACACGAATTTTTAAGCAGATTTTTTTCAAAAAGTATCATTTTTTATTATTTTTAGGCCTTTTTTGTGTATTTTATGTATTTTTTTAATATTGCCTGTTTTTTAGCATTATTACTGTTTTTATTTTATCAGGATATACCGCTGAGTTTAAAAGTTATTACGTTTTCTTTACAATAAGTAATAGGAAGAAAATAAATTCGATAAAAAATTAAAAAAAAAATCTCAAAAATTTTTTGACCTCTTTTTTGTCGATAAAAATAGGTCTAGTTTTATCTAATTTCATATGTACACTTTAACGTGACTCACACTGTATGTAAAATATTTATTCACAAACATACAAACATCTATGAAGTAGATTTGGTGGAAATATTATTTACTAGTACGTAATAAGTTATAAGCAGTTATTACGCTCAGAGCTTCTGTTTCGAGGAAATAACTCATTGTAATACAATTACCTACAGTCAGCCGCCTAGCCTGGTGGTAACCTTTCAGATTACAACTCTAGATTCTTCAGTGACTCGTTCCAGTCAGGCACAAATGTTAGTGTGACATTTCTGTGCGCTCGTTTTCAGTAACTCTTAAATCCTCTGTCAAACATTTTCGTTCAGTAAAGGAGACCGAGGAGAGTTGTGACATTGCTGATTTTTGGAAACCTATTAACTTTAATAATATAAGTTGCTTACTTTGGGGCTAGCTGGCGCTGTGTGAAATTGTCCAAAGATTTTGTTTATTATTTATTTATTTATTCACTTTTCTTTCATAATTTAAGAAAAAAATTACAATGTAAATTTTTAAAAATAAAAATGCAGGGCCCAAGCTACCGGTGGTCAGGGTCACAGGCTGAGGAACCTCCGGACAATGCGTGCCGTGCTGAGGATCACCGCCTTTTGTATCTGACCCTTGAGCCAACCATCCAGCGAGAGCTTATTTATTTTATTATTATTTATTGCCAATTTTTAGAAACCTCCAGACTTGAACCAATAAACGCACACTGCGCGCTAGTAGCTAATAAATTCAAAAAAATCAACATCGTCACAACTCTCCTCTGTTACAACTCACCTCGGTCTCCTCTACTTAAATAATTACTGCATATTATTATTCTTCAAGTTCCATTATCTAATAACGGTCATAAAACAAGTATAGACAAATTGATATGATTTATTGGAACTATTCATTCACCTTATTATTAGTAGGTAGGTAATTATTTGCAGTTACGGTTGCGTGAATTTAGATTTCTAGCAGAAATTTGTAATTATCCTGTGTATTCTAGAATTAATTAATATTTCCAGGATCTTCTCATTTGTTTAGGCTGCATAGTAAAGTAAGATTAGTTNAAGCGACTTACCTCTCCTCCCGATCTAACGAACTCCCACGACGAATGCAGACATCCCACCCAAGATTAAACAATATCCAAAATACCGCCATTTCCATTTTGAGTCGTGAATTAGTTAGTAACATAGTGGTCCAGGTGGTTCCAGATAGTACGTGGGACAAAGTTTAGAAAATTATTTAAAAAGTACATTTTATACTGACTGATTTTAAAACATATTTTATTGAATATTTATAATACTCTGTTTACGATGATAATTTTTTTTAAGAAGGTTACTATAGTAGAAAATGCAATTATTTGATGTTTATTGTAACGTAATGCTACATGGGACAGGTACAATTTGTAAGGAAAACCTTTCTGTTACCAATAATGACCACTCTGTTACTTTAAAAAAAATTAAAAATATTGAAACTTGAGTCGTTATTCCAATAATGGATGTTCGCTAATGCGATGTATTTTGTATTTAATACATAATTCGTAAAGGATTTTGACATTATTACTAACAAAAAAATAAAAAATGTTGAGGGACACGTTTACCTGCGCAAAATTTGACAATGACCCACATATCAACATTCAACAAAATTTTCTAGAAAAAATGTTGAATATTGTCATATTTTTGTTGATTGTGTAAGGCTAAACATGGACTGGAGAGCCGGCTTAAACTTATGATTTGTTGCCAAAAAATTGTGAAAAATAAATAGTACAAAAAATATGAATGAGGATCTTTTTTAAAAAAATACTTTTACTTAGATATTGTTGCTAATAACTGTAATAATTGGTATTTCAAATAATAATTTAACAGAAAATTAACAAATTGAAGCGAATATAAGCATTTATTTAAATTTAAATAGGTACAACGTACACGGTCCAAGGTACATCTGGTTTGTTGTACCTAGGACAGTTTTCCCTTTTTTTTTCTAGCAGCTAGTATGCCCAAATTTTTAAAATTATACACAATTTTATGAATGAATTATGTAGTTAATTAAATGATCTTTAAATATAACTGCACTAGATAAGTTTAACTATCACCATTATTTTTCAAAACATCAAAATTCGAAAAACTGGCCTAAGTACAACAGGTTCCCCTACGCTACGCGGTGCATAAATATGGAGGATTTAGAGGTATACAATTAATATAAATACATATGTACATATAATTTACATAATGTGGATCTTATAGGACTGAGAGATATCAAGATGAAGGGATACGTTCAAGAAAATGTTTGCGTACGTATTTGAAAACAAGCATAAATAAGTACCTAAATACTGCCAAATGTTCTACGGAAGACTGCCCCTGTCCGAAAGAAATGAGTTAGAGAGGAAACCAGTGCGGTAGAAAGGGTAGAAGAAGGACGTTGTGTTGAAAAAACGGACTTGGGCGCTGTTTGAACTGAGAAATGAATACTACGATTAAGGTAATAAGGATTCTCCTTTATAGAGGTATCGCATACATAAGGTAAAAAAAGTGTTGCGAGAATTCTGGAATTTCGCTGTAAAAGAACAGGTAGCCATTGCAGCGCAAACCGATGTGAAGTAACCTCATGACATGATATTATTTCATGATGAGTGTGTGATTAACACAGTGTGATAATTAGTTAAATAGGTGTATTAGTAGATTCTTATGTAGACAGACCGTAGATTACAATGGAATGCCAGGGTATAATGTCGGAAAAGTTCATCTAGGATCAGGAAATGATCAAAGGTGCTGCTCTGAAACTCAAATTATAGGACTTCCCAGTGATTATATTCTCGAACGTTTTACCGCTTGCGCCAGGAGGGTTATTCCTACCTTATCTACAGCACTTGCTCGAGATAAACATTCTGCTAGATGACCTGGATCTCCTACAAGCGCCGTGCTTTCGAGAAAAATCGATCGGGGGATGAAGGGATCAATAAATAAACATAAGCTTAAACAAATTAGTCCCTAGGCCTACAAGTCGCGAGGCGATAACGTAGCTAAGTAACATTTTGCCATCTGGAGAGTTTGTAATTAAAAGGATATCTTTACTTGTATATTTCTCCCAGCTATTAGTAAACTTGTAACTACTAATAAGATAAAACACCTCTAGTCAAATAGCATACATTTTATCTACCGAAAATCTAATTGCAAATTAAAGACTAACTCGGTTTTCAAGACCTTAATATCAAGTGTTTTTATTTAGAAGTGTGTCTTGGAATTAAACACTGCATAAGTTTGATCTTCTTTATTAACAATATTATTCCACTTCCCAACAATAAAAAAACTCAAAATATGTAAAAACACAAGAAATGCATTTTAATGGTCCCAGACAGGAAAACGCGCTTACTTTTAAAATTGCGTCAATTTCCTTTCGTTGTACTGTAGCGTAGGCAATCACTAATAGTAAAAGTGTCATTAAATGACATAAAAGTGTAAATTTTTATAAAAAAACTGCTCTCCAGCAGAATATAATTTTGCTTTTACTTAATTCTAGTTTTGTGCCTTTCATCTACTTTATAAAGTAGGTTAGGTATTACTTCTTAGCAAGAAGACTTTTAATAAGGGATTCCAATTTTCTGGTGTCAGCAGCGAACTTTCTGATACCGTCGGAGAGTTTATCAGTAGCCATCTGGTCTTCATTCAGGTGCCAGCGGAAATCGGCCTCAGTAAGCGAGATTTTTTCAATGTCGCTCTCAGCAGCCACTTTAGGGTCTAACACCTGAAAATATGTAATTGTTAAAATTCTGTATTTTTTTACACAATAAAATCTATTGTATAAAAGCGAAAGGTCATTGGTTGACTCACTCATCACGAAATCTCAGAAACTACAAGTGCTAGGAGTCTCAAATTTTGCATGGGGGTTCCTTTTAGAACGTAAAAACGGGGTAAAACGGGATCCACGCGTACAAAGTCGCGGGCGGCCGTTAGTTTCTTATATTTATTTGAATAGAATTGATAAAACGTATAAAGTAAAAAACTACCAACCCTCTTCAATGGTTGATCACTACTGGCAAGCTCCTGCAGAAGCTTAGGACTGATCGTAAGTAAGTCGCTGCCCGCAAGCTCCTGGATTTCGCCAGTGTTTCGGAACGACGCGCCCATCACTTGCGTCTTGTATCCGAACTTCTTGTAATAATTATAAATACGTGTAACGGACAGCACACCTGGATCTTCTTTCGCTTCATAAGTTTTTTTTGTATGTTCAACATACCTAAAAGTTATAATAACATTAAGTTTCTAGAATATTTGTTATTGAGCATGACTGTGATATAGCTTGAAATACTTGACAACAATCAGTCTAATTTTGTAACAGAATTGCACATTATCATTCATGCATTGAATGCTGTAAATTTTTCACTCATTTATTTATATTAATTCAAGGAATAAATTACAAATTGCGGACTTAATGCATCACAGCATTATCTACCAGTCAAGCTTGAGGTAATACAGGGCTAATTTGCTGTTGTTTTGCAGTAGTGTAATTGTTAATTTATTACATTACATAAGTATACAGTTTATGTACTTAGAAAGAAAAAATATTTACTAAAACAAATTATCACATACCAATCCAAGATGCGTCCAACAAATGGTGAAATGAGGGTTACATTAGCCTCTGCACAGGCAATTGCTTGGTACAATGAAAACAGCAATGTCAAGTTGCAGTGAATCCCATGCTTTTTCTCAAGTTCCCTGCAGAGAAAGAAATTTCAAATTACACATATTTAATTTTCATTGGATTTAATCTCACAAATACAATAATCTACAATTTATATTACTCACTTTGCTGCTTGGATACCTTCCCAGGTTGAAGCTAGTTTAATGAGAATCCTTTCCTTTTTCACTCCATACTCAGCAAACATATTAATTAATTTAATAGCTTTAGCAATACTGGCATCTTTATTGAAAGAGATTCTGTAAATGAAAATAATACCTAATAAAATAAATACAAATAACACATTAAAATAATTATATTAAATGCATTTAGATAATCATATTACCTTGCGTCAACTTCAACTGATACTCTTCCGGGAATAATCTTGAGTATTTCACAACCAAATAACACACTGAGCATGTCTAAAGTTTCAGCAACCTGCTCCTCTACAGTACTGCAATAATAATATGCAAAAATATAATTATGTAAAACTAACTAGCCTATTTGAGACTTCAGAATTTGAACTATAAATAAACCATAACATCTGTTTTTAGACAAGCTTGGATATTTTCATAGCTCATTAGAAGCCTTATTACATGTCTCAGACATTTAAACAGATATTACATTATTATTAAAACAATATAATTGAATACCTTCCAGTGTCCTTTCCATACTTGATGGCCTTATCAAGCAAATGCTGATATTGTTCCATACCAGCAGCAGATAATATCAGACTAGGATTGGTAGTAGCATCAGTGGGCTTGTATGCTTTCATAGCTTTAACAAAAAAAAATGAAAATCAGTCAACCTATAATTTATTTTTAAAGATTGGCCCACAAGTTCAGAGGTACATTGCAAGGTCAAGAAAGTCTTACCTAAGTAATTTCAAGTTGGTACTAAGATTTTTTTCTTATAAATGATATCAAACAGTACTTTATCTTGACCTGAAGATTTATTAGATTAGATACCTACATACCTTCAAAGTCCCCAGTGTCGGCCACCACGACCGAATATTGCTTTAAGTGATCGAGAGCGCTCATTTTGGTCCGTTTCGCTTGAGGTTCACCACTCATACTAACCAACTTCGTACAGCTGAAAGGTATTATAAATTAAAATTCCGTATGACAAACGGAGCGCGAACACAATAGTTGGGTAAGTAACTCGTCACGGCAAGTATCAAGCTCCTGAAGGTGACCTCTTGAAACGTAAGCAAACATAAAGTTACCGTCATGCCGCTATGATAACCTCTACTGTTAAAAACTTAGTACAATAATAATTGTGCCTTTTGGAAGATCGAAGGTTTTGATACATATAAATTGCTGGTGATCAGTCTTACCTGTTTCTGTTTTATAAGGTTTAATCCGGCAAATACCTAACTTTAATATGTTAGGAGAAATAGGGAAACTGTAACAACAAAAAACACTTGATAACCTTCGCTCCTTCGCTCACACACACAAATCACATGTCAATGTCATTTTATCTTGTCTGCTGTCAATGCCAAAGAAAGAACTGTCAGTGATTTTTTTTTTCATTTGCTGTCTATGTTCCTTTTGGTTTATGTGTACTATACTCTATGTCTATGGCCTTCTGTAGATCTAAAAGAACTTTTTTAACGAATCGAAAATCGATCACGATGCGATGTAAATCCATACAAAAAACGGCATTTCGGCCGTCTTTCGACATTAAAACTGTCACATTTTGCCACTTGTCTATTTCTTGTTCGCATTAATCGAGTAATTTAGTACAATCTACAAAATAACAACTAAAATAAATTAGTCGAGTAGGTTACAGCCTTGTTCGCACTATAGTCGAGTAATTTTTTCGAAACCATTATTTATTTACTTGTAAATTGTAAGGCGGGTCTCCAGCCTACCTAGGGCAAAAAACGCGCCGGAGATCCGGCTGTATTCGACTAAGGTTTTAGTGAGTAGTTTAGTACTAAAATCGAGTTTACTATATTATTCGACTAGTTCACACTAGTCGAATAATTTAGTAAACTCACAACAACTCACACACACTCACAAGGCTTTTCAACAAACGGCTATTTTGTATATTTGGAACACTTGCCTATGGAATTGATGGATTTGACAGTTTGTTTTGTTGCAAAGCAAGCACGTCCCAACACTAGTAGTTCTAGAAAATTCGGGTACGAGCGAGTGCGGCAGCCGGCGTTCGATTGCGAAGCGAATTGCGATTGATTGAGCGATTGTCTAGCAACGTGTTGTTGTCGCGTTTCGTGAGAAAATTACATTTAACAAATTCCAGAGCTGAAATTCACAAAAATTTCCCATCATCATGGCTGCTATGTCCGTGATTGGTATAGATTTTGGAAATGAATCTTGCTATGTTGCTGTAGCAAAAGCAGGTGGTATAGAGACAATAGCCAATGATTACAGCCTTCGAGGAACTCCGTAAGTATTTTTTGATAATCTCCAAGCCCTCAACCTTCGAACCCGTAAAACAACTTTAATTAAGTTAAATTCCAGATGCCAGAATTTTAGGCTAGGCATCAACTGCCCACTTTGTACTTCACTAAGACTGCATGTCATTCATCAATTTTTAGTCAAATATTCAATAATAATTATAAGTTTAATTTGAGAAAGAAACCAATATTGTTACTTATATTAACATAAATCCTTCTAGTACTGCAATAGATCTTGGTACTTTCATTACTTATTTACATTTTTATGAGTAATGAAACTAGGTTATGGTGATAATCTATCTGTATCTGTAAAGATGTGAATCTATAAAGGTTACTAGAAAAAAATTATAAACATTATTAGAAACACCTATTTTTACATTGAATAAAGCATGATGTAAATAATGGTAAATGTTGCTTGAGTGCATTCTTAGTACTATAATCTTAGATTAATAAAACCTAGATGGATAGTCTTCATACAAACACATCATCAAGAGTGAGGCAAAAATCTTATGTCATTAGTGTCAATTTTGTTGGGGAGTGTAGACAGTGAAGGCGATTTTCCCGAAAGCAGGGAAATTTTTAATACGTTTTTAATTATTTTATAATTAACAAAAACAAAACGCATCATGTACTTACTTATTTATTGAATTCAAAGTACCTACCTAATAACAATAAGATAAATCGACTTAAAAGTCTCGATTTCATAAAAAAGGAAGTGTATTTGTACGGCGAACAATTGGGAAATAAATTTTCTTGTTACTGGTATCATTCCCGTATTTAATTTTTGAAAGCCAAATTCAAGCAAAATACGCGTCGAATCGTAATACTTACTTAAATGAAATGTAACACTGGTCACTTTCTTTCGTTTTTCTGATGTCTTTAGACACCCTTTCACAGCACAAACCATCTTAATTAATTAAAAGTCGTCGGACGTGTTTACCAATTTTTCACTTTGACAGTTCATGTGACGTTTACGGGTAAGCCTTGCCGGCTCCCTAAAAACTGCCTCACCTTTCGTGCACTGACTATCTATCTAGGTTTTATTAATCTAAGACTATAATGAAAAAAGTTTCCTATAAAGGAAAAATGCAAAATTAAAGTAAGAATAGAATAATCTAATCTTTATGCCAAAAAAGTTGTGCTTTTTAAGGGTTACGCTTCAATTTTATGAAATAATAAACTTAAAAATTGTCTTATTATCAGAATTTTATGAAAAAAAAATACTAAAATACAAATTAATAACCAATTTTTGCATTTTAGGTCATGTGTTGCATTTTCACCAAAAAATCGAATATTGGGAGTTGCTGCCAAAAACCAAATGGTCACAAATATGAAAAATACTGTTTTTGGCTTTAAAAGATTATTAGGTAGAAAATTTTCAGATCCACTAGTGCAAAAAGAGTTAAAGCACTTCCCATTCAAAGTGGAGCAAAGAGCGGATGGTGGTATTGGGATTAGAGTAAACTATCTTGGAGAAGACAATGTTTTCAGTCCTGAACAAGTAAGATATCAAAATCTTATTATTTTTAGATAATTGTGTAAGTATCTAAAGTAGTTTGTGTTTATTGCTAACAATGGTGTCTCTGTCTTTCAGATTACTGCAATGCTGTTTACAAAGCTGAAAGATACTGCAACCACAGCTCTGCAGACTCAGATCAATGACTGTGTCATATCAGTGCCCAGTTACTTCACAAATGCAGAAAGAAATGCTCTTTTAAATGCTGCTTCTATTGCTGGTAAAACTTTATATTAGATTCAAACCTTAATTTAGTTCAGATTTCAACACTAAAATGAACATAAACTTAAATTTTAATGTTTCAGGTGTCCATGAACCTTAACCTTGATTCACTTACAAAAGATCAATAGTTCAATAGAAATAAGCTTCTCATTGTTAACTTTACATATTCACTATCAATGTAGTTTACTTCAGCTCACTTTATGCTATGATGGAATGATATTTGACTGATATTTTTATTTTCTTTCAGGATTAAATGTATTGCGTTTAATGAATGAAACTACTGCCACTGCTTTAACATACGGCATTTATAAACAGGATTTACCTGCTCTTGAAGAAAAGCCCCGAAATGTTGTATTTGTAGATTTTGGGCATAGCTCACTGCAGGTAAAAAGTTATTATTTTAATTACTCTATCAAAAAATACTGTATCTTAGGCATTGTACTGAATCTTGACTCTTATTTTAGGTAGCTGCATGTGCTTTCAATAAAGGGAAATTGCGGGTGTTGGCCACTGCGACAGATTCACAATGTGGAGGCAGAGATATAGACAGTGCTCTTGCTGAATACTTCTGCCAAGATTTTGTGTCCAGATACAAGTTGGATCCTAAGAAAAACCAGAGGTAAGACTTATATGATTTCTATTTTATGGTGACACATTAATCCTCATTGTCTCTAGAGCAGAGTTTCCCAAACTATGGGTGCAATACTGGGTCGCAAGCGAACATTGATTGGGCCCTGCCTGTAGAACGACACACCACCGAACGGCAGTGGGCGAAATTTCCTATACTAGGTGGGTCCCGAGTTTGGGAACTTGTATTAGATGAGTCGTAGCCCAGACAACTTTAAGAACCACTGTTTTAGAGAAACTTAATGCAAAAGAAGGAAAAAGAAACAAATATTCCAGAAATAGAATTTCTGAATGACAGTGTCCTGTCATTTGACACTTTGAAGTTCAAAGTTACCCAAGATGACTATTCATGATAAAATTAACCAAGGAATTGTTTTCAGGGCCTACCTGCGCCTGCTGCAAGAGGTGGAGAAGTTGAAGAAGCAGATGTCTGCGAACAGCACGCGCCTGCCGCTCAACATCGAGTGCTTCATGGAGGAGCGCGACGTGTCCGGCGACATGCAGCGCTCGCAGATGGAGCAAATCTGTGCCGACACCTTCACCAAGGTGGAGAGGACTTTGCGGGCGATACTCCACAATGCTAGTAAGTTTGCTATTTGGAATTAACATGTTGTTGATTGGAGTCTACATAGAGTTACGAATAGTTTAAACTGCAGTGGTTCCCAAACTTATTTAGTCTACTGCCCACTTTGAGAATAAATTATTTTTAGCGCCCCCCATTTTTGTAGTCAAGAGTCGAGCTCAGTCGATGTCTAAGAGTCCTCCTAGAAGATGACACCTCCCAAGCCTTTACACAACGTCCCGATTTTTTTCTGGGTCTCATACCGCCCCTCTTTAAGCCTGCAGCGCCCACAAGGGGGCGTTATCGCCCACTTTGGGAAAGACTAGTTTAGAGGCTTCACACACTGGTGTCTTTCGAGCCAGCGCAACTTTGACGCGGCGCTGACTTAGGCCTCGTTCAGACACTAGTAAACGCGCGGTTCGTGTGGTAAATTCTCGTACATTTAGCATCAATCCGTAACTACACGGCTATCACCTCAGTGCCGCGACTATGAGAACCGCCCAGAAAACGCGCGGTTATCGCGCATATCTGAACAAGGCCTTAGTGTCGTCGCGACGCAACTAGTGAACGCCGAATTTACGCAGTGCTGACGTCGCGTCCTTTCCTTATATGCAGCCAAAAATATGCTCATTGTAATAGGTAGTTATTTCCATCTGTAACAATTACAATGCAATCCTATTTCAGAGCTCCGACCTGAGGATATTTACTCCGTGGAGATAGTTGGTGGATCTACTAGAATTCCTGCTGTGAAAGGATTGATTGAGCAAGTTTTTGGAAAGCAAGCTTCTACTACTTTGAACCAGGTATGATGATAAAAAAATAAGATTATTTGTGTAATTTACATGTTCAAAGCATTGCATTGTATGCATTACTCCTTTTCTTTAATTTATTTCAACATTTAACAGTCACGGTCGCAAATTAGGTGCAATAGTTATTTCTTCTGACTTTGGCTACAGCTTTTTATTCAGATTTCAATGTTTATGATGAAGTAGTTAACAGGATAATTCTTAAAAGACGAGTATTATGCGAACATTTTATTCAGGCCTCCCCAAGCCATGTGATGCTTATAGGCCAATCCTCTATTTACCGTTTTAGCTCTTAAGTTTACGGAAATCATTGGGGGAGGCCTATGTTCAGCAGTGGCCGTTCTGTGGCTGAAATGATGATAATAAATCAGACAGTCATTCTCCTGATGAATGATGATTACGGCATAAGTAGTACCAGGCCTGTTCATCTCCGCGAGTTTGCAACGAAAACAAAACACGCGCGACTACCCCTCCTGAGATACTTATTCGACAGGACAATCACGAACGAGTATTGACGCACGCACGTGTATTCTTCACCCATTTGCATTGTAAAGACAATAAACTATATGTAAAAACGGCGGTGTAATTAATACTGTGCAGTATTTTTTAACTGCCTGAATAATAATAGAAACACAAAATATAATTCATGCTTAATCATGTATTTCCTCCGTCATTTTCCGCAGTTTGGCACCTCACGTCACACATCATTTTACCGAAGTCAGCCCTATCGCTTCGGCGCAGTACCGATCACTGACGTTTGTCAACAAAATGGTGCTCGACTCTTAAGACAAGCTAAATTACACCATATTGTTAACGACATTAAGCATACATTTTTTTAAATACCTTCGCGAAGAAAATCTTCTGTACGTAGTACCACAGAATAATAATAAGTACTACGTACAGAAGTTTACCTCTCAGTGTCTTAAGGCAACTTAAAAAAGTACATTCTGTGTTTTTATTATTATTTAGACAGTTAAATACTGCACAGTATTTAGTGCACCATTTTCTTTATTTTCTTCCATCATACACAAGAATACGCGTGCGTGAGTCAATGTTCGCTCGTATGTGAGGCCTTGTCGAATGGTATGCTGTAGGTGGGCCATCGTGCGTGTTATGTTTTCGATGTAAACTCGCGGAGATGAACAGGCCTGGTAGTACTTATTATTATTCTGTGGTAGTACTATGTCCGGTCGCGTTGCAGGACGAGTCGGTGTCGCGGGGCTGCGCGCTGCAGTGCGCCATGCTGAGCCCGGCGGTGCGCGTGCGCGAGTTCAGCGTGACGGACGCGCAGCCCTACGCCGTGCGCCTGGCCTGGGACGCCGCGCGCGGCGAGGACGGCGACATGGAGGTACAATATCATCATACTACAGCATTGGTCCCCAGAGCAAAGACCTTTAAAAGGGGGGCGCGGGCCATTTGTGTACTTAGTAAAAAAAACCTGCGACCGCTGAGAAAATGCATTCCAGACTGCTCGATACGACCAATATAATAATCTTGACTGGAGGCGGGGGGCGCGTCTCAAATAAGTTTGGGACTACAGTCTTAGCCATTCACATACAGATGGCTCATTTGGTAATCGGCGCCGGTCGCTGATTCGGTTGCCGTTCATACTTCAATACTGCTACATTTGCAGGTAAATTTAACAAGTCAATCACATGTCGCGTGGTATCACCGCCGATTCTATTATTGGAAACCGGCGTCGGCAGCGGAGACACTCCCTAATTATTATTATTAGTAATTTGCAAAATATACAACAACGAAAAATTAATGCTTTATATTTTTTTTTCCTTTTCTAGGTGTTCCCTGCTTTCCATGCAGCACCATTTTCGAAGATGCTTACATTCTACAGAAAAGAACCCTTCACTGTTAGCGCCTATTATTCCGATCAAGTACCATACCCGGATACATTTATTGGTAAGTCTTATTAATTACTGCTAACATGATCACCTGTAGTTATCAAAGTCATATCTCATCCATCACATACACTTAAATATAATAATATGTAACATTGTTCATAACAGGTCAGTGGCACATAAAGGATGTGCAACCGACAGCAGAAGGAGAGTCTCAGAAGGTGAAGCTCAAAGTCCGCGTGAACATTCACGGAATCATTACGGTCGCTTCCGCGTCTCTCGTTGAAAAGAAACAAGACGCCGCCCAAAACGACAATGTCGAAATGGAGAACTCCAATGAGAACGTAACTAGTAGCCAGGAGGCGCCCATGGAGACCAACGGCAGCCAAGAGCAACCTCAAAACGGGCCCGATAACCAAGAGGTGAGAGAGGACGAAATGAAGGGCGAGCCGCAACAAAAACAGTCGTGGACACAGAGAGTAGGCCAGTGGTTCAGCGGGGTATGTGTCGGTAGCGCGTGTGTCGAGTGACCTCGTGATGTCTGCTGCCACAACCAGTTGCTACTTACATATTTGAATCTCACGATACTTTACTTGTTCTCTAGCGTTGCTTTCGAAACCCGCGGCAGCAGATATCACACTTCCATGTTCCCCATCCTCATTTCTTGAGGTCCCATTTGCACATTTTGTTTTCTTGAGACTTTTCTCGCCTTCAACAGTCTGTTTACTCGCTTTTTGAACCAATTTTCGTTTATAGTTCTTGTCTCTGTGTCCACGCATGTTTTGTTAATCCTGCAGTAATTGGTTTTTTTATGATTGGACAAGCAAACCAGTTTGGAGGATGTAGTTTCTGTAATGACAAACATTAAAGAAACTTGCATGTGGTGTCTCATGTAGGTGCAAATGGGTCACCGCAGTGCTTGGAAATGAAGAGTGCCTTTTATGCTAAGATAAATTACTTTTATTATTATACATATTTTCCAAGCTATCGCGGTGGTGGGGAAATCGGTGACCATTTGAGATGTGAACTGTTCTCTTTTATTTTCAGGATAATGCCGATGACAAAAAGGATAAGTCCAAAGATAAGTCCAAAAAGGTTATAGTTAAAACTGTGGAATTGCCGATAGAGGCCCGCACTCATGGATATTCCCAGCAGGAGCTGAACAGCTATATGGAGCAAGAGGTATCTATTACTATTTAGTTTTGAGAAGTATTACAAACCAAAACAATGGAATATTGACGTCATAGAGATCTAGAGAGATGCCAACTAATGCGCTGAGTTCGAAACCCAGTGTCACATTAGAAATTCATACACAAAGTAATCAAAATAAAAACAACACGTCGCGCAGAATATGTGTCATGCACTCATGCATTGAGTGCAACTATTCGTTCGCATACCAGGTTGCAAGTAATGTACGTACGTACAGCACCACTATAGTTCCAAAATACTGAACTGTCCTATCGATGACATTGACAGCGGGGCGCCACCGTCAATACCGAATCGCTGGTTCCGATTTTTGCCATGTTGGAAACCATAAAGTTGAACGATGGTAGCGCCCCCCTGTCATTGAGTTTGGCGGGACAGTTCAGCGTGGGTCATCTATACATACGCAGTGACGTCCGATTGAATATATTCTGTCAGTTTGAATGTGCTCACTGTCCACTGCGGTATCAGTACTCGACGTTTGAATAATCTTTAGTACTATGCAAGCAATGTAAACTGTTTACACATATAACGTCGCTGCTGTCGCGAGCAATGTGTTCTGTTTTTGGGCATATTGCTGCGACACTGGCCCCGCCCCCTTGTCACATCTCCCTTTAGTTTCTGTGACACGTGATTGACGTCGTTAACCTTAATGATATGTTTTAGGGTAAAATGCAAGCTCAGGACAGACAGGAGAAGGAGCGTGCGGACGCGCGCAACGCGCTGGAAGAGTACGTGTACGAGCTACGCGGCAAGCTGTCTGAGGGCGAGACGCTGCACGACTTCGTGGCCGACGAGCAGCGCGGCAAGCTGGTCGGCCAGCTCGACGCGCTGGAGCAGTGGCTCTACGACGAGGGCGAGGACCAGAACAGACAGGTACAGTCGATGCGAACATAATGGCGGCTCGGATATTAGGCCCCTCGCCCACGGCGACTTTTTGTAGTGATGCAAACGCGATACTGTCGCGCTTCTGTTGCGATGCAAACACGATTCAGTAAGCGCACAAAATTAATCTGACACGGTCACGCGTTGGCATCGATACAATCGCGATGCTGTAGCGTGTTAGTAGCGCGTTGCAAATGCTACTAACGTTCGGTAGTAACTCGTATACGAAACGCGCGACAGTATCAGTATCTATAAAAAGTCGCCGTGGGCGAGGGGCCTTTGCTGTGAGGACAGGTTCAACCGCTTTCTTCGCCCCGCTAATACCTAATATTGTGCTGCGCAGTGACTCGTGCGATGTTCCGAGCCGCCATAAAGTTTATCTGACTTACGTGTGATCGCGTAGTAAGTTGAAGATTGTATGCCGTTCTCTTGTTGTCAATGTGAATAGTGAAAATCCCAATCCTATTAGATCATGACGTCACACCGTAATGATTTTGGTTATAGTTGCAATTCACGAAGGCGAGTGAGCTTTACATTATGTGTAAATGTGAATACCAATGGATAGCATTGTATTTTTTTAGGTATACAGCGACAAGCTGACCGAGCTTCGGACTGAAGGCGAGCCGATAAAACAGAGGCGCCTCGAATTCGAACTACGGCCAGGCGCGTTAGACGACCTAGCTCTCGCTGTTCAACTAGCTAATAAAGCCGTTGACCTTTACAAGTAAGTAAAAGAATGAGATCAAAGTCGTAATATTAATTTACTTCGTAATAAATAAACAAATGCGCATCTAAGTTTCGGTAGCATGTGCGCGGTCGCTTCAAGGAAGGTATAAAGACCATTATTCTACTACGCAGGTCGGGCGACGCGAAGTACGCGCACTTGGCCGAGGCCGACATCCAGAAGGTGGCGGAGGCGTCCAAGAACGCGCTCAACTGGCTCGAGAGCGCGCGCCAGGCGCTCGCGCACGCGCCGCGCCACCAGCCGCCGCCGCACACCACGCACCAGATCCGCCAGGAGCGCCAGGTAAGCAATCTAGTTCTATAGTATTAAAGGCGGTCGATCTATTCTCATAAATAAAACACTGGATACTCAACTTTCACATTATATTGCCTTATTTTAGATACAATTAATCACTTAGCACAAAAGCGCGCGGAGTCGTCTCCGCGCGTCCCTCTATTCTGACGTTTGATTCTCGTGTGACATTGACGTATTGTCAATGTCACTATGACAGCAACTCATTGGCCACAACTCTATCGTTATTTTAACGTTTCAGATTTTTCATAATTAACAATAGGGATTTAGGGATGCTCCGAAAGTTCCGAAACGCTGTTTAAGTAGTCACTGTCTCATGCTGGCATCTCGCTTTGCGTGAAAGGAATAGCAACATTCGAAACTTCGGATGACGTTGTACGGCGGTTTTCTTTCCTTTTTTGCAAAATCACAGCTCAAATAAAATTTTACTTAAACTTTTCCTCCTACGCTGTGTATCGCTGATGAAATACGCGTATGATGCAATAGTATATTTAAATTAAGCCTTAGTCATCATCCAGTTTTATAACCATTTGGCAAAGTCACTTTTTTATACACACTGTCCCGAAGATTAATTTTTGACTCGCATCTTGAAGATTGGATCAGTTGTAGGAATTCCATTCTTACTCGACTTTTAATTTCAGAATCTTGAGAACACCGTGAACCCTATCCTAAACAAGCCGAAGCCGAAGGAGAAGACGCCGCCGCCCAGCAACCCCACGGCGGGCGACGGGCAGCCCGGCGCCGCGCCGTCGGAGCCGCCGGCGCCCGAGCACATGGACGTGGAGTGATCCGCACATATGAGACTAAATAATTAATAACTACACCACTAGCGTCAACTCTCATGCTCGTTTTGCACATCACTCGATACGGTACCCCCTTGCGGCCGATAGAACAATGTTTGTTAGCGCGACACGCCGTTGTCCCATATTGTTTGTGGTTCACACGAAACGTTGCCCCACTTGCACTATTCTGTAATTGATTTCATCTGTTTTATTGTTATTTAGTCTTGATGTGAAATGTCTGCTCGTTTTTGAGCACTGTTAAAATATAGATAATATTTATTTTTAATTCAGATGACAGTATGGCCGGTCATATTTCGTGTGTTACAGCCTTACTTTCTTTTTATTTCCAGCTGAAATAACTTGATTATTTATAGGAATAAATATTAGTCGCGCATTTCTTATTTTGACGTAACCCAGACTAGTATTAATTTAACACAATATTATGTATGTAACGTGTTCATATTTTGTTAAAATTTATAAATGTATATATGCTTAGTGCATTTTACTGCAATACGCAGGTTCCCTGAAATGTGATAAATCAATTGAATTTAGTCACTGGATTATTAGCAAATTAATTACTACTCCAGGGCGTTGTTAAACCGTAAATTTGTCTCTTGATTTACATATTATATCGAACTTCGAGAAAACATTGCGTAACTTAACGAGGTACCTAAGCTACGCAATTTGAAAAATAAATTCATTAAATACTTGTCTGCATTTAAATATTTTCTGCAAAATTGTGTACTCAATGTTCTGCATTTTATCTTTAGCTGCTATTTATGATCTAAATGCTATTTTCCTGGGAATTTATTCTCATTTCATGTTTTATTCGTGCTTAAAACTAAGATTTCTTTAAGATGTTGTATTCGATCCAAACATCAAACTACCGACTTCCCTCCTTAACCGTGGTAAAAACCCTAGTATGTGCGTATACTGTTGTTTCGAAGTTCTACTGCCCACGAAATCGTTAAAAATAGTGCCATGTATTCCCGGCAATTTTTGAATAAATTATGATTTAACTTCCCTGATTATTGTTGCAATATTAATTCATTTTCACTTATTTACTTCATAATTACCAATTTTTTTTATCAAACAGTTACATTATGAACTGATAGATCTTATTGGCTTCGCAAGTGCACAGTATTGGAAATTGGTGTGTGATTGATTTATAGAATATTAACAATACAATTTATATGAATTACATTATTAGAATCGTAAAATCTTCAATAACGTGTAATCTCAGCTATTTCTGTTCTGTGGCGCGGGCTTTACAAGAACAAGGATTCCACTTCTGGCGTGAATTTATTTTCAGATTCCATTAAATTTATTCTAATCATTGTACTAGGTTTATTTGGCCTATTTTTGTACATTTACAAATAAAATGGTTCGACCATTTTAATAATATGTTACTTGCGCATTTTTAATGTTAAAAGCTTAGTAAATGAATGATTTAACAATGCATTTCGTTTTTCATTTTTATTTATTAGGTCCGGTTTCCACCAAAGCGGAGAGGAGAGAAGGAGATGCTCTCGGCCGCCCGACCTCTCCTCTGCGCTTTCCCACTCAATACATTTTGAAAGAAGCTGAGCAGAGAGAGAAATGTGGAATGTAATGAAATCTTGATTGGTGTTGAGGCGAACCTATTACCTCTCAATGTGAGTGTGTGTTCACATTCAAACTACATTTATTGAATACACAAGCCTTGCTAAATATTAACGAATGTGTGCAAGCGAGACAGAAAGCGCTTGTAGTCTGTCGGACTACCGATATTGTGTTGGTTACCATTACCTACCTCAACTCTTGTTGCGCGACCAATACTCTCGAGCAGTCAGCTAGTGGCAACATAGAGAACCTCCTCCCTCCTCCTTTTTTTGAAGTAGGTTAATAAAAAATTGCTTATAAGGGCCGCGCACACGGGTGATTTATGTCGCCTGTGTTACCCAAGTCGGTGCACGCTATTATAGCGTCTCTCTCTTCTGTGGACGCTTCTCCGCGACGCACGTGACAGTGAAAGAAAGTTTTTTGTCACCAGCAGTTTTTTGTTTTATTCTCATTGTTGTCTGTTGTTGTCAATTGAATTAACTAATAAATTGATTTTGTAGAATACTAAAAATGGGCAAACATTTTGGTGAACTTGCTACAATTCGTGGCATAATCGCCTACAAAATATCTCCTCATGAACAGAAACCGTTTGCTGGAGCCTTTTCTTACGGAATTCCAAATTGTTTTCGAAGATTTCGAGAATGTGTTTTTGTCGTAGTCCCGCGTAAGTTTAATGGGATTTTTAATTCTGAAATCTAGGTTCAGACGGCTGTGCTGCCCCCCAACCTACTCTTAGAGCGATTTTGTTCTCTTGAGGAAGTTTCAGTTAAAATATGTTAAAACATTGCATATACGAAGATCGCCAGACCAAAATCGTATCACGCAGTTATGGACTGGCTGTTTAAAGCTAAGCGTCCACATGTCCGTATCGTACGCATCGGACGTATCGCACGCAACGGATCATAGAATTATTTATATAGAAACTCATATTACCGTCCGCATCGTACGCATCGCACATCGACAACAATCGACAATGCCGACACCTATGCTCCGAGAGGCAACTTGCGATGCCTGCCGATGACGTCATACGTAATGCCGATCAGTGGACGCAGTCCGGCGCTCGCTTTGCATTGTTCTTCATCGCTTTCCTCCAGTCTCACAGAGTCCACATGTGCGTTCACTATGAAAATCTGAATGAACTGGCATCGTCAATCCGTATGCTGGTACTCACCATCGGTAATCCTTACGCTGCCGGTACAGTGGACATGTCGCAGGCAAATTGTATGATTCCGCATTTTACAAACGGCGTTGTCAGTTCACAAACGCTCGCTGCTCTATGAAATGCCGAAGTCAAAATGTAAATTGCCTGGGCACTTTATAATATGCCAAAACATTTGATAGCCAATTCAATTGCTGTTTACAAAATGCCGCGGCAAATTGAAGTATTTAGTTCTTTTTCTTACCACGCGAGGCGCTGCTAATCAAAACAAGAAAAATGGCGTCGAGTCGTGGTGTTGTGATACAGAAAACAGTGCAAATTTTCCGTATTCAAAGGACTTTTCACATAAAAAGACATTGATTATACTTAGTGAATTAATAATATTTTACGATTCATAAATAGGAGCAGTGAAAAAGCTATGGAAAAATTAAATAGTTTTTGAGGTTATCCGGCACGTAAAAAACGCTAAGGTGACAATGGAATCTGGTGCTCGGCCTGGTGGTGGACTGCTGCGGAATATTATTGGTTTAAAAAAATATTGTGTTGTCTTCTAGACTTCTTCTAGGTATAATTAAAATGTAAGAATTAAAGGACTGACTATCGAAACTTATTTTGTGTCATAGTTTTACCTATAGGTACGTACGTCAATAGTTTAAATTAGTTTAGTCTTGTTTTTATTACGAAAATATTTTAATTACTTTAGGAGTAGCTAGTATTTTAGGTTTGTCTTACCTGAATAGATACCTACCTGATTTCTGAATTTAAGTCTGATTTGTCCAACATGTGTTTTATGATGGTCACCCTATTGCAACAATCATAGTCGAAATTTTATCAATTGAACGAGTCGCCAATTTGCCTTCGGCATTTCATAGAACAGCGAGCGTTTGTAAACTGACGACGCCGTTTGTAAAATGCGGAATCATACAATTTGCCTGCGACAGACACACTGTAAAACATTTATCCGTTTTGTACCTACGATGCGTCCGTTGCGTACGATATCGACAAGTGGACGCTTAGCTTTAGTAATTAATTTGGCACATTGCATCTGGAAACGCCCATATATGGGCGTTAATGAATGAAAGAATGACTTGTTATTTAAAGCTAATTAGCTTTTAGTATGACATATAATAATGAAAATGTTTTTTTTTAGCTTTCGTGGTGGGGTACTTGGTTTACAAAGCCGCGGAAGAAGCTCACTATTTGTCTAAAAGAAAGAATCCTCGAGACTTTATGTTCGAAGAAGACCCAGAAGCTAAATAATTGATTGAACTACATATTGAGCTTTGTTTATTTAAATAAATAAATTGTTAGTTCTCTTACTACGTTATTTATTATTAAGTCCGCCACTATTATACTCTACTTTTGTGCAAAAAGTTTGCTCCAGTCATACAGGTTCCAGTTAGACGTGCTGGACGTCTCCTTCCAAGAATTTCCACAACGACACCGAGCCGCCGCCTGATGAGCTCCCTGCAGGCCAGCTCCTTGTTTGTCACTCGATAGTGCACCAAGGTCGTCAGAGTAAATATATTCTTTGCACCAAGGCACCCTCCTATCAATGTCGTAGATCGCATCAACCATATCGCTGCGCTACACAAAGGAGGGCAAGGGCTGGCCTGAAGTGGCCTGTAGCACAGATATGGATTAGAGGATATGGCTGTAGGTATCTGTATCATCGCCGATTAGCAAAAGTGAGGTAGGTAAGTTACTGTATTCAATTTTAGTTGCTGCCCCCCCAGACTATATATTACGTAGCCATTTTATGTTCCAAATTCCGATTTAGGTTATAACAAGTTTATTTTGTAGGTAGGGCTGGTCCATCTAGAATTGATGAATCTATGCTTTTAGTTGTGTCAGCTGTCATTGTTGTCACCATGAAGCTAAAGATAAAAATGGAGGCCAAACTTGGAATGGAACAACAACTTGAGGAGTCAAATACCTACTTATCTCTATCTCGCTCTCTGTGGGCCGACCTCTCTTTTTAGTGTGGACTGTAGTATTGCTATCTCCTTATTGAAATCTCCTAGTAAATTCTTCGAAATAGCCAATTCACTAACCAAATCAGAAGTTAAACAAATAAATAATTAAATATTTGAACTACGATTACCTAGTTAAATTAAAAATCACAAAATTGTCGGCCGTTTAGGCTGAATGTGTTGGCGAATCAGGGAATTACAATCCCAATTCCTGGGAAATCGATACCATGTGGCAACATCGGCCCAACCCGGCCCTTAAACAGTAAACAACCGCCATGCCTAATGGCAGTTAATTTCATTTGAGATTTTTTACAGGACAAAATCATTGTTTTATCAGAAATGGTGCAAAATTTTGTAGTGCGTGGTTGCGGTAGTACGTGGTGTCCTGGAAATGACTTAAGATTCCACGCGTAAGTGTTTATTTCGTGATTTCCGACATTGGATCATTTGTAAACATTTTTCACAGTAATTTCTTCCTAAAACGTTTTACCAGTATTTAGTCATTTACACTTAACATTTAATGATACCTATGTCAAGAAATAAAGATTTTACATTGAGTTTCATTGACTTTGAGCAAATTTATGTTTTTTGTTTATTTAGAAAGAGAGAGTGTCTGCCCACAGAGAGCGAGATAGTGATACAAAGGTCGTGCTTCATTCAAGTAGGTATTCGGAGTGTGGCCTCCATTTTTATCTATAGCTTCATGGTTGTCACCCACCAGTTGTTGTCACTTGTCAGTGTCCTGTGTCACTGTCTGCTGCACAGATATATCTGTGGTCTGCTGTCTGTCAGTCACAGTGTTGCCAGAAGGTTACTTTTGTAACCTTTTAGGTTACTTTTGAACTGCTGTGGTTACTTTTAGGTTACACTAATGAAAAGGTTACTTTTAGGTGATTTTTCAGAAATTGTAGAATTAACTTTACAGGTTATTCAGTAAAAAATATTAATAGTGACAATTTAAAAATTATGTCATAAAGTGCATTTAAACTTGAATTTGATTTATTATTTGTTAAAAAAAATGAGTTTTAGCGAATGTTTTTCGATAATAAAACGCAAATCCATGAAACGTTTTTATACGACTGGTCACTTTTCGAATTTAGATGATTAATTGTATTCATTTTCCATCCATGAACAACCTTACACACTGACTATCAAGCCGCAATCAGTCAAGACCTGAAAAAGATATGGCATGAGTACTGGACTATTACTAGTATGGAAAAGGGAAAATGGTATGCTAAGATCCAAGGAAGCCCGCCCGCCAAACCTTGGTACCATCGGAGGAATGAGAATATAGATAACAGGAAGTTCATAACCATAATAAATAGGCTGAGATTTGGCCATTGCCACGCTCCCACTCACCTGAAGAGGCTTAACTTGATTCCGAGCGCTGAATGTACATATTGCAATGAAGAGCTTGCCGATATGGAACACATAATCCTGAAATGTAGAAGTTTTGGAATCCAGAGACTGGTCATGATCGATGACCTTCAATCTATTTGTGAACGTGTACCACAGTCGTTGGACGAACTCCTCAAGGATTCGAAACTTTTCAAACCCTTATATACTTTCGTGGTTTCAACTCTGGGAACTATTTGAGAAATTGAGAAGAGTAAGAACTAAGAAAATATCAGTGAATCACAGTGAATCAGTGAAGTGAAGTGTCAAACACAGTTGTCATGTTCATGTGTCAAATTCAAACAAAAGTTCAACGGACTTCAAAGACTGGCTTAAAAGGGCATGCACCCAGAGCCGTGAAAAACTATATTAAAAAAAAAAAAAAAGTCAGAATCAGCAGCTCGGCTAGGAGACGTTTTATTTTATTGTTGAGCTTTGCGGCAATAGCATTACCTATTTAAAATTTTCAATGCCAGTTGCGATTTCCCAATTAACTACCGTGCTCAGTTTCAAATTGATTTAAAAATATAATAACTCAAAACAATGTCGTCAGTTTGTCTTCCAGCTGGTGATGTATTTGTACCCATAAAAATTGAAGAAAATAATCTTCATATGGGGATTTCAAAATTACTTGAAGTTATAAGACCTAATTGGCCAGCTAACGATATCAAATTTAAGGTGATTATGTGTTCTCTCATTTAATTAAAATTACCTAAGTTCATTTTATCAGTCGCCATCATTAGTCTGTTTTTGCAGTTATTTACAGATGGAATTACTAATAAATTGGTGGCGTGTCAGCTAAACACAGACCCTAACAATGAAAATATTGTGTTGGTACGGATTTATGGCAACAAAACTGACTTGCTTATTGACAGAAATGCAGAGTTACGGTAAGTGTGTAAAGTTTTGTTAATGATCATATTAAGTGATTAAAATGTTTATGTTACAAAGAAACATGTTACGATGCTTATAAGTTAAGTTCTCCTTAGCTTGATTTTGTTTCAGAGTGAACGTACATATTCTATATGTAGATAATAATTATAATAAATAACTTGTACTATGTTAAAAGTGATAAGTGACTGCTACCACAGTCACGTTTCACTTATTGTTCATTATTTACACAAGAAATATAATGAACCTTGATAAAATCTTGTTGGTCACACTTATCTCAAGCATGTCTTTCAGTTGCATGTTATTCATTTATTACAATGTTATTGTTCCAGAAACATCAAAACTCTAAATAAACTAGGGCTGGCTCCTCAAGTTTATGGAATGTTTGAAAATGGTCTCGCTTATCAATACTATCCCGGTGAGACGCTCACAGTTGAATCTGTGTTAAATCCTAAAATATGGCCACTAGTAGCAACTCAAATGGCAAAAATGCATAAAGTTAAACTAGCAGAAGAAGTAAGTATGTCAGATGTTGTATTACAATTTTCTTTAGTCATTTTAAATGAGGTTAATTTTAATAATCACTTGCCCCCCCCCAGCCTATACAGGGTGGAAACGATAAGTGATCTCACTCGATTATTTCTAAACCATACAACATCGGTTTCCAAACTTATTTGAGATGCACCCCCTTTCGACCATACAAAAAATTCCGCGCCCCGCCCCAGTCTCGTATCGTATCGAGCAGTCTGGAATGCATTCTCTCAGCGGTCGCAGGTTTTTTATACTTAAGTATACAGTTTCCCTGCGCCCCCCTTTGGGAACCAATGCTATACAATATATCGAAAAACTGGTTACTGATCCTGAAAGTGCTCCAGTAGCTCTATCAAATGGTACCAATGATATGTTACAGAATAAACTTGATCTATCCGAAAATTCAATGTTTCCAGCTTCCATACATTTAGAAAAGCCTCAAAATATTAAAAACTATACAAGATATAGTAAAACAGTTTACTGATCCTAAAAGTGCTTCACGAGCTCTATTAAATGGTATCATTATTTGGTTACAGAATAAATTGGATCTATCTAAAAAATCATTGTTTCGAACTTCTATACATTTAGTACAGCCACAGTCATGGCACTCGGTTTCTGCTAGCAAGTAAAGCCTAAAACCAACATTTTCCATAAATAATTTGAAATAAGAATTCACGAGTTTATTTTAAAAGTTTTGAAGCTTGAACTTGTGAAGTACTTTCAGGATCAGTAACCAGCTTTTCGATATCTTGTGTGGTTTAGAAATAATCGAGTGAGATCACTTTTCGTTTCCAGTCCACCCTGTATACGCGCATGTCGCGTTCCGTTGCTGCTCGTCGCTTTATTCAACGCACCCTCTGTGGCGTGTAGTCGCACTAGCAACGCCCGTGTTACATCTCCCACACGAGTGCTTTGTACAGTCATTGAGGAAATTGACAATTTAGTTCCCCTTAATTTCCTAACATCAATATTAATCTTGTAGTTGCGCGTTACGAATGGAAAATAACTACGAGTATTCCGTCTGTATTCTCAATCTGTATCCACACTAGAGATGAAACGGATATCCGGCAACTATCCGGTAGGCCGGATATCCGGCCTCAATTTACTATCCGGCCGGATACCGGATAGTAGCTCACTATCCGGCCGGATACCGGATATTAAAGAAACTACGAAAATTTCCTATAATAAAATGAAACACATTAATCTTTGAGTCAAATATCAATAAAATGGCTTATAATAATGACGGTTTTTATCTAAAGTCCAAAAAGTTACAAAAAAGCCATATTAAGGCCTTTCAAAAAACTAATTTCTTTTCTGGGCTATTCACTCTAATGACGAATACATAAATAGTAAATATATTTTAATGTCGAAATATTGCCAAATAAAATAGGCGATCTTTTTTTTTTCACTGATGGTCTAATGACATAGAGGGTGACTTTGAAATCGTTGGCATCCTTTTAATATAAGACTACTCATGATACATGGTGCTCTTAAAAAGAGTTTAAAACTATTGTACAGTCAACAGCACATCATCCTATACATTTTGTTGCAAAATAACACTTAATACATTGAAATAAGATGCCACAATATGAAGATTGATGTGCTGTCGTCTGTACAAGATTTCAAATATTGAAATTTTAATTCATTTGTTATGACTCATATTTGGGGAATCATGAGTAGTCTTATTTTAAAAAGAATGCCAACGATTTCAAAGTCACCCTGTATAATGCAGTTCATTCAGATTACGCAGCAAGTAAACTAATTGAATTTTCGCTATTCTACACATACTCACGATGGCAACCGAAATCGCCCGAATTGATCTGCCCCTTAGACGAGTGGCAAAATCGGACATTCTATTCGAACGAATTCGATTTTCGAAAAGTGTGACTTGTCTAGTCTACTAGACCTACTGATCGCGTTCGAAGCACCTGTGCAGCGCTAAACTCGTTACGACATGCAACATGACAATGGGACAACTATCCGGCCGCCGGATATCCGGCTATCCGGCCTAGCAGCTCGCCGGATATCCGGTATCCGGTATCCGGCCAAACAACTATCCGTTTCATCTCTAATCCACACACTGTATACAATCAAATCCGAATCCGACAATTTGTCGACGCATTGCTGGACCGACGTCAGCGATTAAGTCACGGATTCGGATCAGATGCAATGCGGAATCATCGTTAGGCCCGTTTTGAAAATGTGTGGAGAAGAGCGGCCTGGAGAGCAGGTTATTTCTATCAAAACGGAGACTTGCGCGGAGTCGAGTGTCGTAGCGTGCAATGAGTGAGATGCATGAGATGAGCCGCTATGTGAGCGGTACAGTAACAGTGCTGACTACGCGTTTTGTGTGCAAGAAGACGTTCAGCGTCGGTTACGAAAAGATTGCAAATAAAATTGAACATTAAAATTAGAAGAAGAAGAGTTAGAAGCTGAGGAAGTTCAACTTCTTATCTCGCGTGTGAAACGTCTCCGTGCGATACAGTTTCCTTCCTCTTCCCCTTTCGGCTTCGTCCCGTTCAGTTCAATTTATGTATGAAACGCCGCTCATTTCTTCTCTGCTCCAATGGAAACGATTGAGCTAAGCGGAGACTATTGGTTGGAAAACTTCTCTCTATAGCACATAATTACAATACAATCCTACAATGCGCGACTCGGGCTAAGAAAGGTAGGATAGGTAAAAGGTTTTAGGTACCTACTCACGGAGCGACTTCCACACATTTTATTGCAAGTAGTTAGTACCTACTACGTGGAAATGTAGTTTAATTACGACGCGTAGTAAATTACGTGATATATTTCCTACCGTTTATTTATGTGTTAACCTTACAATAAAATGCTTATCAAAAACCATTCTCAAGGTTTTAATCTTGATAATGCTGAATAATTAGGTTGGATGGTTAACCATCCAAGTCATTTTGACAAATTCATTTACAATTTATAGTAGGTATTAAAATAATTCATGGTTTCCCCCGAAAGCTAAGTAGTTTCAGTTCCTTACAGTGTTTGATTTTTAAAAGTCTCATTTTAATGAATTCTTACAGATAAAAGAAGAGCCAATGGTATGGGATAAAATTGAACAATTTTTAATGTTATTACCGGAACCTTTTACTGATCCCAAAAAACATAAAAGGTCAGTTTTTTAATGTTGTACAACCCGGTCGAGTTAACTGCGCACCTAGCTGCCGTGACGTCACATCGAAGTTCTGTACGGAAACGGGACGAACGAGGGAGGTGTGCAGGTAAGTTTGAGGCCTCAGCCTCGAACTTAGCGGGCAGCGGGGCGGGAGCGGCGGCGGCGCTGGAGCGGGGCGGGCAACGCAGACCCGTTCTCGAAACAAGCGGGCAGCTCGCGCGGCGCTTTAGCGGCGAAGTGTTGTGTTCGGGGTTGTGTTGTCGAGATATTTGTTTTTATTCGCAAACGAAATGTCTGAACAACGGCGACAATTTTATTTCGATTCAAATTTATTCCTAACGCTCGATTTATTGTGGGCAAAAGAAGGAGTGCGCTGCCCGCTCGTTGCCCGCTGCCGCGCCGCTGTTTTCGAGAACCGGTCTATTTGATTTTACGCATAAGATCCTTCCGCTCCCGCGCCGCCGCCGCCGCCGCCGCCGCCCCGCTGCCCGCTAAGTTCGAGGCTGAGGCCTGAGGGAGAGTCGCATTCCAGTGAGGTGCGCAGTTAGTACGATCGGGTTGTACTTACCGACATTACTCGTCTTTATATCTTTTTTATCTATTTATAGTACGCGGAGCATGTGTAGAATAGTACACGGGTGACTTTTGTTACCGTGACAGTAATAGTATGTTTCTCCATAGATAAAAGAAAAAGTTAGTAACTACTTTTATAAAGAGAAAAAGCAAGACAACGTAGTCGATTTCTCTTGATAAGAGTGTAAAAGAGAAAGATATACTTGGCACGGTGACAATAAACACCAGTGCACGCGAGCCCTAACTTAAACAAAATTGCATGACGGATCAATAAATCATGGCCATGACCAGAATTTGTAGTCACGCCAATTATTAAGTAACAACGGCAGATACTAATGATTTATTGATTAACCATTACTTTCCTTATTCCCTAACCACTGATTGTAATACTAACATTATAGTTGGATGACCGTGTGATAGAAGACACACATTTGGGAGAAGGAGCTTGAATGGTTGTTTGGTTGTTACCTATTTATTTTATTTTAGAGCTTTTAAAAACTTCAAAAGTAAAGAAACCAAAATGGGAAAATAAAACCCTTCCTTCCAACTTTCGAAGTTGAATAAAAAAAATAGGCAGGAACTTCGTAAACCTAATCTAATATTAATATTTTATTATATTAACAAAATTATAATATTTTAACACGAATATTTTTGTTATTTCTTTCTGTTGTAGATTTGTGAATAGCTTTGGGTCAATAACAAGACTAAGGATAGAGTTTGAGCGCCTAAAATCACACTTAATCCGAACTGAGAGCCCAATAGTGTTTGCTCACAATGATTTGCTTCTAGGAAACGTGATCTACAACCAAGCTGAAGGGACCATAGCTTTCATTGATTACGAATATGCAACATATAACTATCAGGGGTTTGATATTGCCAACCACTTCAATGAATTTGTGGGTGAGTGATTGTGAACATTTGTGTCAATTCTTTCATAACCGTCACGATGTCTCCTTGTGACGATTCATTGCTCTTATAAATAACCTACTTATTTACATTGAGATAAGATAATAAGTAAAAATGATATTTGTCTAGATATTTTATACTACGAGTCAAATAACTAGTAGATATATCAGATATCTTACTTGGAATTATTCCTTTACATAAAGCTAACGGCTACCGACTAAACAACACAATCCAAGTGTTGCTTGCCTACTATCTACGTGTCTTGGCTTCTTGCATGGATATAAAAACATCTAATATTTCACGACCATGAGTGTAAATAGCCCTCTTATAAATAGCCAAGTTTTACACAGTCGATGCAAAAAAGCATCACGTAGATTGACGACATTCGTAAACCTTCAATGCTGTGTCACATATAATGTAATGATAAGAGTTGAACTCTGTGTATTATGATAACCTAAGCCTGTATTGATAATCTTACATGTTCTCACTTGAAAGCATTAACTTTTTAGGTTTATCAATAGAGGATATCGATTACAGTAGATACCCGAGTGAAGAGTTCCAAAAACAATGGATCCATACATACCTCACAGAATATTTGAATACTGACAATCCGTCTGGCCAAGACATTGACAAAGTATACACTGAAGTACAGCAGCTATCCTTGGCATCGCATTTTTTGTGGGGCATATGGTCCCTTGTTCAATATGAGCTATCGAATATAGATTTTGATTTTGGAAGGTAAGTTCACGATCCATTAACCCATTTCTAAGTATGTACCTAATCGTTATTTGACTATGGTCCGGTTTCTGAATTGAGATCTCAAGCTTGAGCGTGATTCTCTACTCAATTCAGAAATCGGTCCTATGTTCCACTTCCACCTAAGAATCGAACCCATGACCTTACGGTGCAACACTCTAAGGGTGACTGCATTTGCCGGCATGAATGGTAAGCCTTGCGGAACACGAGTGTGCAAAGTTTTCTTTGAATACTAGGCACTATCAATCAAAATATTATCTGCCCTCATAGCAAAACTCCATTCATCCGCACTATACATTATGGGAAGTATTTTGAGCTGCGCTTACCATCCATGTTCTCGGAAAAATACTACAAAATTAAAATGCAGGGAAAATGTTATAAATTATAACTTATTCTGTGTTTATTTTCAGATATGCTGAAATAAGGCTAAATCAATACCAAGAGCTAAAGGACAAAATTTTCAAAGAATTCAGTTGAAATTGACATGGACCCTGTTTTATGCGATCAGATTGAGCAGACCAGCTTTTCGGACTTTGTTTATTTAGAAATAAGAAAATTATGTACAACATTGTGAATACGTCGAATTGTATTTATTATCCAATATTACAGAAAAATATTATGTACAGTGATATTTTATTAATATTAATTAAGCGTTTCAACTTAAGTAATACCTATTAGTATATTTATTTTAAAAAATAAACTTATATAAAAGTTACAGTCCCTTTTTCCTGTGATGCGCGGATTTCACACGCGTGCGGATCTGTATTATTCCTAAGTATCTAATATGTTTTAGTTATTACGTGGTCTACACGCACACAGAGAACGAGAGAATTTTACATATTCTTATAGGTATTTTGGATAGGAATAAGTCGTGATTATAAATTATGCACATCTCTGACGTCCACCTACAAGGTGGACCGACTACATCATAATAAAGGTAGCAGGAGCGCTGGACACAGGCCTCTACCAACCGGTCAACATGGAAATCATTGGGGGAGGCCTATGTTCAGCTGTCTATCCTATGGCTGAAATAATGATGATCATAATCATAATATCTTTATTGCTTCGTGATGATGACATCTCTGAATTTGTTAGTAATAGGGGTATGGAAATACAAAATAAACAAGTTAGGTATTTTATAACTTTATAATTAACAAGTATTACCTACTTATGTACAAAATTGCATTATTGGTCGGCCTTTTTATAAGACTTCAAAGTCTTAAATCCATAATACCTAAGCTTGACGAAGCACGAAAATGCCGCCTTGCATAGTGCACATTGATGCGATAATATTATTCAGTTTAATCCTTAGAAGTCTTTTTAAAGGCCTAACAAATTGGATACATTTTAGCTAAAAAACATGGCATGGTTCAAAAATATAAAAAATACATTATGTAAAAATAATTACAAATCGGGCAGTAGTATATTTCCCCTATTTAAAAAAAAAACAATATTTTTAATTTTGAATTGAATTGTGTTTGAAATGAAAAATCCCTATCATTATTGACGGGGAAAATTAAATACCACCTACACTACTTACTGTCGTTGACGTTATCAATTTTATATCAGGATGCGCGCCACGATATCGAGGACTGATCATCACTTTTCATCAAGTGAGATGCAGGCTAAGTTTCCTCGTGGTTAAAATTAGACATATTATGTGTATGTACATTATTAGTAGATTTAACGTGGCGTGAATCCTAGACCGGAAATGGGTTGAGGGCAGGTTGGCAAGTTAGAGGTATAGTATACCACCTACAGCCTAGGTATACCTGGTATACCTAGGCTATACGTTATGAGAGTAGACGACTTTTAACACAAAGTGTTATGACGAGTGGTACCTACTTAGTATCAAAAGTAATATACAGGGTGTCCCAAAAAGCAGTGTCAAACCGTAGCCCAGAGGTAGAGCATAACTAGGGCTATCCGAATCTGCTGGTAGCTTAGCTAGTCAACAAGTTACATCGTCAATAATTATGTAGTGGTGTCACGATTAGATCGAGTAAAGGTGAATATAGACTAGAGCATTTCTATGTAATATTATTACGTTCTTACGGTGTGGTACAATACAGGTAAAATGTACGACGTTTGGTTCGTGAAAGGTTTTCCTTTTATAAAGTAAATACTCTAGTCTCTATTTACCATAAATATTACAAAATGAGCATTTTCCACAGTTCTCACTCGACAGACGAGTGTAATTTTCTATCAACAGTATCATGCGAATCCGCATAATGACCACGCGTCCTAGAATCAGTCTCAAAACAATACAACAGTCATTGATTATGGATTTGCATTAGAGATTGCAATCCGGATTATTCGAAATTCGAAAATATCTGAAAAATCCGGATTTTGAGGCTATAAAAAAATCCGGATTTTGACTTTGAAATCCGGTTTTTTCGAATATTTTACCGCAAAAATTTTATCATAAAATCATAAACCAAAATATCTATTGAATGCAACATGGATGCAAAACAAGCGAAGTTTTGATTGAACGCACCCGCACTTCGTCGCACAATAACGCGTTATGCCGCATGCGTGAGTGAGACGCTGATTCTGAAACACCATATCGCTGAGTTTTAAAGTGCAGCTAAATCGACAAATATCCCTTGCAAGTGTAAGTCATCATCATCATCATCATGGACGTCAGCCATAGGACGTCCACTGCTGAACATAGGCCCCCCCAATGCTTTTCATGTTGCCTGGTTGGTAGCGACCTGCGTCCAGCGCCTTCCTGCTACCTTTATGATGTTATCGGTCCACCTTGTGGGTGGACGTCCCACGTCTCCACTCCAAATTCAAATTATTTATTGCATGTCACTCCAGAACCTTGCTGTCCCATCGGCCGTCAGTTCTGCGTACTATGTGCCCTGCCCATTGCCACTTAAGCTTGTATCCGTCGGGCTAGTATGTCAGCGACTTTAGTTCGTTTACGGATCTCCTCATTTCTGATTCGATCTCGTAAAGAAACACCGAGCACCCTCTCCATAGCACGCTGTGCAATTTGAGCTTCTGTATAAGGCCTATAGTGAAAGGCCACGTTTCCGAACCATAAGTCATCACTGGTAACACACATTGGTTGTAGACCTTAGTCTTCAGGCACTGAGGTATTTTGGACTAAAAGATGTTGCGTCGTTTCCCAAACGCTGCCCAGCCGAGTTGGATTCGACGATTGACCTCTTTCTCGAAATTGGACCTACCCAGCTGAATCGTTTGTCCGAGGTAGACATACTTGTCAACAATCTCGAGAATTGAGCTCCCAACCGAAACTGGGTAGGGCGCAACATGGACATTGGACATAAGCTTTGTTTTCTCCATATTCATCCGCAGGCCAAGTGTAAGTAGAGATCTTCAACCTCGCCCATCTAGTTCACCCAGCGGATTCGATTTGCTTACATTAATTCATCTCGAAATGTGAATATGAGAATGGGGGTGATTGTGGAGAAATCCTTAAAAGAGTTCTAAACAGGTTGTTGGCTATACCGCCGACCATTTAGCTGGGTTGATGATGGAGTCAAGAGGTGACCATAGGAACTCTTAAACGAAACGGCGGAATCGCATCGAACTTGGGTTCGTTGGATTTGTCTTTTCGAGCACTTTAGTGCTAGATGATGCCCAGGGTCCTGATGATGGATTCGGGAGGTGGCCATAGGAACTCCTAAACGAAACGGTGGAAACTCATCGAATTTGGGTTTGTTGGATTTGTCTTTTCAAGCACTTAAGTGCTAGATGATGTTCAGGGTCCTGATGATGAAGTCAGGAGGTGGCCATAGGAACTCTTAACCGAAACGGCAGAAACTTATAGAGTTTGAGTTCGTTGGATTCGTCTTCCCGAGCACTTTGGTCGTAAATAATGACCAGGGCCCTGAGATTGAAATACAACTTAAAAGTGTAAAATAAAATTATAATAAAAAAATTAGCTCCCCTGGCCTACCTGGAAATCTTTATAGACTTCGGACAGGTCTGCCGTAGTAAGGACAATCTGTTCAGGTGTCAGGTGGGGATTCTTGGATGGATCAAACTTGGAGTGCAAGTGTGGTTTTGTTCCCCAGTCGACGAAGCACATGATGTCGTGCCCTGCGTGCCCAAACAACTGCAAGCAGGAAGATTTAATGAAGGCTACTGACAACGCCACTCTTGTGGCGGAGTTTTGGGCTGACGCTGTGTAGGTTTGTTGTCGACACGACAAGAAGAAGAATAAAAAAAATATTTTATAGGTACAAGCAAGTTTTTATTCTGAAATGCAGTTGTACCTACTAAAACGAAAAAAATTGCAAAGTTCAAATAATTTCGAAAGCTTGTAGCGCAAACCGAAAAAAAGAGGAATAAATTCCATGCGCGATAATAAAATAAAACGCTTTTCTTCAAATACTTACATCTTTTTGAAAAAAACTACGTTTTATTTAAATTAAATTGATGGTTTAAAAAAATTACCCAATATTCGAAAAATCCGGATAATCCGGATTTGTACGTAACACAAATCCGGAAAACCGGATTTAAGAAAAATCCGGATTTTGCAATCTCTAATTTGCATGCTTACATACTATCAAGTTTTGTACAAATCATGAGGGCCGGGCGTAGCCCTAGCAAAGCGATCGTAAAATGCTCTCGAAAAACCAAACGAATATTAGATTAACATTTAACACTCACTGAACTCAATTACGGACTTGATGGTCACAATTAGCGAAACATTTAGTAGGTACGTATAATAACCGGAGTTTTAAATATTTAGGCGTTTTCTGTGATATTCACGTAGTGATTCAATGTAGGTAGCGATATCAGCACCTCACTTAGGTAAGTAGGTACATCACGCGGTAGCAAGTCCAACACGATTGCTCTACAAATTTTTCGTGTCTAATATCGGTACCTACCTGAACTCGGAAGACTGACAATGCTGCGTGGCATTAAGGCCTCCTCCAAACTTGCGTGTTTCGAACGCGTCGCGTCTTCTTGCCTATGCCAGCGCCTGCGGACAGCGGGGTGGGGGGCGTCTATATTAAGGCCTAATGTCCACGGAAGCGTCGCTTAGCCGGTTTATGGCTTAATCTACTATTCCCCGTTGACAATCCCCGTCAACGGGGATTAGTGAACATAAGCGCGTATTCGTTATCATACACTTGGTGTAAGTACCTACGCTTCATTGCTGCATACAAAACTGAAACACTGTCGCGACGCGAGTGTGACGTTGGAGCAATGTAGACAGTGTTTCATATCAAATAAAAAATACCTATTTATTAAATTTTGGCCAGTATTTGGCACTTAAGAACGTTAAAATTGATAAAAAATAGGGAGCCTACTTGATAAAAATAGGGAGTTACTTGTATGTAAGCTGCAAGCAAGCATACATACTCCCAAGCTTATAATGACGAATATGCGCTTATGATGCGACGCCTCGGTGGACAGTAGTCCTTAGTCTTGTCACATGTCATGGAATTTACTTATTATTTTGAATGCGCGATGGCGTATTTTTCTACGTGGATGCGTAATATGCATAAATTTGAACGTTTTCGAAATTGGATACAGAGATTACAACAGCATGCAGCATGAAAATATATATGATAATCACAAAAGGTGAACAGATAATGGGCTTGAAGGGAAAATTTCATATCTACATATCCACCAATACCATTATTACCATTTAATGTTATGCCAACCTGCCCTGTAAACAAAATACTGAAAACGGCTATTAAAAAGTTTACCTTATCACACTTCAATTCCAGCTGTAAAATACACCTTGTCATAAAACTAATGTAATTAAAAGTATAAAAGTGTTTTGAGACATTAATTCATAGAACTTGAGGGGTTCTTTTGTAGGAAGGATAATATAGGAAGGTGCATCTAGGTTTATTTATAATGTTTTGGGTGTGATAAAATAATTGTCAATAAAACATTATACAATTCAAAATTGGTCTTTGACATTTTCCTTCAAAATCATGCAACAATTCATCAATATCATTGTCTAGATCATCACTTTGAGCCATTTTAGTGACCATATCGCTGATCAAAAAGGCTCCTATAGTTGCTTCTTCATGATTATCTTGAATATCAATGTTAATAACGTGTACTGGCTGGTTAAACACAGATCTTCTTGACCCAAACCATTCAATAACTTGATCATAAACTCTTTCTTCACATGTAATAATTACATCAAATCGTTCTGTTGATACTTGGAATTTTTCTGGGCTAGGTTTGATTCTTCTATTGCGGTCTAGCATATGTAGCAAACCATTTTGTGTATAGTATGATTTATCCTTTTCCAACAAATCGTTATAGATATCATCATATGGTATTCCAAACTCATAACAATTGGGGCGATCAGCAGATGCTCCAGGGAGTTTGACCTTTTCACCTGTACCAAAAGATTTTACTTTAAATCCTTTCTTTACAAGGAATGCATGAGCTTCCATGCTGCGATTCATGTTAGATGAACATACAACTGCAATGTACAAATCATCCATGGTACTTAATAGGTTATATTTTTGGGATCTCTATTATCTTTGAACTCAATCAATGCGGATCATTCTCATTGACCGCACCAAGTTTAAACAATAAATGTAGTCGATCTGTTATTGTAATGACATATAGATAATATTAAACGCTATTAAACAGAGGATGAGTCGTCAGGCTGTGTAAAACAACTTCTCTTCTTGACTTTTATTATTGATTGCTACCAGTCAACTTAATTGCTTCACATGTATGATTTATTTGAGTATTAATTGAGTTTCTTTAAATATAATTTGACAGAAATTATTCAGATTAAAATTAAAACAGAAATTAGCAGACCAATTTCTATAAATTTGACCGTGTTTACGTTTCTTTCTTTTTCTGTCAGTGGTGGGGGGGTCGGTCAACGCAACGCGTCAAAAAAAGGGACGAGAAAAAGGTCTATGCCTTGCACAGATTATTTAATTATTTATGGATGAGCATAAACTCGAATTTAATGTACTATTGATTTTAAAATAATAGTGTCTAGATTGATTCAGTGATCGACTTGTAAAAGTATTGAATTTTTAAAGCTTTATTCCAAAATTATACGTTCTTTATTACTAATTAATTCGTTCGTTTTATAACACGATACCGATACGATGATGATAACTTAAATCTCGTCTAACGTCGTCGACTTTAGCCTGTTCCGTCAGGATCGAATGAAAAAAAAATTATTATATGTCAATGTCATTAATGTCATTGGTAACAAGCAATTTTTTTTGAGGTTAAGTTTATTATTATTTAGAGCAAATTATTGCAAAATAATAAAAAATGATTAAAGTATTCAGAAATATTTGCTTAACTACCACCAAAAATGTTAATGTCAATATGTTTCATACCGCGCCAGCTTCGTTAGCTTGGTCAAAATCAGTTTTACCAAAACGATTTTTAGAATACAATAAAAAAGTATTTCCTCCTCAAGAAATCGGTGAAGAAAAACGACCTGCCGTAAGAATCAATAGCATATTTCATTAACAGTGTTTACTATTCTTCTCTACCCTCTTTAATATCAATATCCAACAAGCTTTTCCTTTTTCATAGTACTCTCAAGTCTTCCTTTTTCTCCTACCGTATACGATGAACGTGTTGTAATGATACTCCCTGTAGAGAATTACTGAGAATTCCTCTTAGTTTTATTTAACATTAAAGTGATAGTAAAAGTGAATTCTTACAACATAGGCACCTAATTTAATGTTATCTTTTCAGTTTGTCTGCCATCAACTGACCAACATAAAATACAGTCCTGAAAAGCTTTGGTACATTGCTGTTCTTGTTCGAGGAATGACAGTAGATGAAGCAGTTAAACAGTTAAGTTTTGTGAACAAAAAAGGAGCAAAATTTGTTAAACAAGCCATACTGGAAGCTCAGGAGCTTGCTGTAAAAGAACATAACGTTGAATTTAGAAGCAATTTATGGATAGGTAAATGTCTATTCATTATGGAGATTAAACAATAACTTATACATTACATAATAACTGAAAAAAATTTTTTTTTCAGCTGAATCTTTTTCTGGCAAAGGAACTGTTATTAAAGGAATTAGAAGGCATGCCAGGGGTCGAATGGGCGAAGTTCGCTACCAATATTCCCACTACTTTGTACGTTTAGAAGAAGGAAAGCCTCCTAAGGACTACTACAAAATTGAACCTCTAACACCCCAGCAGCAACTTGATAAATGGTTGGAGCAAATGAGGAAAAGGAAAATAACAAACTCTTACTAATTATAATTATCTTTTATTATCCAAAAATGTAAATTTAGTCCAGGACATATTATGTATTATTCAAAATCATTTTAGTGAAATAAAACATTTATTATGTAACAAATTAAAATCTATAGCCAGGTCTCTGAGTCACCAAAATGGAGATCAAGACAATAGTGTGTAATTTAGCTGTAGAATAAGACTTAGCTGCATTTAAAAAAAAAAATTTAATATAAAAGCAAGGTGCCAATGTATTATTTTTTAAATCCAATATACAGTGTGTCCGGGCATGTAGTGATCAAACTTTAAAGGCGTAATCTATGGACAATTTTATCGATGAAAATACTTCAAATTTGGGGTCTGACCCATTTCTCGAAAAATTACATGGATTTAAGTTTTTAATTTTTAGTTTACAACTCTTCTTTAAAAAACAAGTGAAAGCGTGGGTAGCTTAACATTAATAGGCAAATATTTTATATCATGCGATAGCCAATAAAATTATCTATTAATAGAAGAAGAAAACAGACACAAGTTTCATACATTTTATGGGAGTAAGAATGGATTTAATTAGAAAAATACATGACTTTTTTCACTTCTTTTCCAGTTATTTTCCAACACAAGAAAAACCAGGTCATTAAGGTATGTTTTATTTGCATTGATTATTAGTATTTGAGCTATTCTACAAAACGAATGTAAATTTATTAGTCTACGTCTATTAGTTTTGACGTAATTGTCGAACAAAGATACCCCTTCCCAGCGGTTTCCATAGCGCACGCGACATGCGAAAATGCACTGCCTGAAAGAATCACACAACCTATTCCGATTACTATGGAAACCGCTGGGAAGGGGTATCTTTGTTCAACAATTACGTCGAAACTAATAGACGTAGACAAATAAATTTACATTGGTTTTGTAGAATAGCTCAAAAAATAAAAATACAATGCAAATAAAACATACCTTAACGACCTGGTTTTTCTTGTGTTGGAAAATAACTGAAAAAGAAGTGAAAAAAGTAATGTATTTTTCTAATTAAATCCATTCTTACTCCCATAAAATGTATGAAACTTGTGTCTGCTTTCTTCTTCAACTAATAGATAATTTTATTGGCTATCGCATGATATAAAATATTTGCCTATTAATGTTAAGCTACCCACGCTTTCACTTGTTTTTTAAAGAAGAGGTGTAAACTAAAAATTAAAAACTTAAATCGTTGTAATTTTTCGAGAAATGGGTCAGGCCCCAAATTTGAAGTATTTTTATCCATAAAATTGTCCCTAGATTTTGCCCTTAAAGTTTGATCACTACAAGCCCGGACACACTGTATACCTAAATTAAATAATGAATGAAGGTCACTTGCAAAATTTTAAGTAAATTAATAAAACTAATCCCAACTAATATTATAAATGCGAAAGTAACTCTGTCTGTCTGTTACGCTTTCCCGCTTAAACCTCGCAACCGATTTCGATGAAATTTGGCAGGGACATAGTTTGAGTCCCGGGAATGGACATAGGATAGTTTTTATACGCGCGCGATAGTTTTTCTGTGACAGACAAAATTCCACGCGGGCGAAGCCGCGGGCAGAAAGCTAGTTTAGGTATATATTAAGCACATAAGACTAAAAAACACCTATTAATACTAATAAGAATAATAGGCAGTACAACTTGATGTGCTGTAGCCCAGCTTCATTACTATTTGAACTTGTTTAGTGACTTAGAAACCAAAAATTCCTGATAATAAATCAGTGTCTAGCTTAGATTAATCTAGGGTGTATAGTATGAAAACTTTCATGATGGTAAGTTTCCGAATGAGTTTAGTAATCTATTTACAAGAGCTACTATTAATTACATAATCTCTTAGATTAATCTAAGCATAATCTACAAAAAATACATATTAATGTTATTGCAGAATTACATGTTTTATTGGATACCAATTATATTACTGAAGTATTTACTTAAAAGTTTGGAGTCTTATCAATATTGTATTCACCACACTCCTATGTTGATAACTGTCAACAAGTAAGGTAGTAGGTGTGTGAAAATTGTATTGTAATTGTAACACAACAGGCGACAAACTACACGTCATGGACTACAAATAACGTCAACATGGCTGATTAAGTAAGTTTGCATTTTATTTACACAGTTTGAGGTAACCTGCTGGAGCATGACCGCTACCTCACCCTATACCTCCAATGTCGCCCTTAGTTTATTTCGCACGTTACTTCACACGTTGCTTCCAAGAAAATTTTGTTGATTATGGGGTGTGCGTCTTTGCTGAAGGCTCTAATTAAAAATTGCAGGCATATTTACATCGGAATGGGCTCTAATTTTTTGTATGTTTTTGAAAGGAGACATTTACAATTATAAACATTTATTTAACTCTGTACAATCTTTATTATAATGTTGCATACGAGTAGTATGCTACACACTTAACGACAATAATAAAATAAAATTAAGTAATGTAATGAGAAACTCATAATTAAAGTCGTTACATTACATCGGGAATAATAAAACCGATAGTGTTCCTGCGACAAATCGAGTTGCCAACCGGTCGACCACGGTCCACACGGTTATATTTATTTATAAATTTATTTATAATGTACACTAATTATCTTCTTACATTAATTGTAATAATTCGAATATATAATTTTTACACTTTAATACTCAATGACAAGTAAAATTTAACCTAAATACATAATAAAACAATCCCTATTAACATCATAAAATAATCATAGATTAATAAAGCTTTATTAATCTAAGATTATCATTTATTACTATTACAACATAAGTCCCAAAATAAATATTACTTCTGTTCTCTAATCATATTAATATTGTGCGTCTTAGCTTCTCAATATTGATGTTTTTTTATTGTTTTCAAGTATAGTTAGATACGTTTTGTACCAATAAATTGGGAAAACGCTACAAAGTATCAGCTGTCCAGAACTAGCGTCTCTTGCATGCTATTAACTGACCTTGATACCATGTCAATATCTACGAATAGTTATTTGGCAAACTAATAATATTTATGCAGTGGAATATAGTTGAAACTACTTCAACTGTAGTAAGTACAATAAACGTATGGTTATAATTAATAATGCAGTCATAAAAAAGGTAGGCGTTGATATCGAGTTGGAACGAGCAAGTGCTATAGACAACCAGCCCTATTTTTTTACCATCGACTAAGAAATTTAAGTACTAAGTAGAAATATCACTTATATGGCTCATTTATTACTGGAGACAAAATGTCCGGTCATTCATACCCCATAATACTAAGTCTTAGACAAGTTGTCTCAGAGGACTTACTGGCAGTGGCGGGCGGCGTAGTGAGTGTGAGTGCTTCGATCAATTGGTATCATATAGCTCATGGCTTAGTACTAACTTCAGTCTGTCTTCTTCGAATATCGGTAACCCATAAATCCTGGGGAGCACCAGACCATTCTGGGGTGGTACCCAACTTGTGAGAGCCCCGGGTGTCATGCCAACCCATGCTACGCTGCCACAGTTACTGGGTTATGACTAGAATTACGAACAAACAATAGTGAACAAAAATGATACATTTCCTTTTTATTAAAGATAAACAGAAGAGTAATTTTATAAACATAAGGCAACAATAGCCCAACGGTGTCAGTGTCGGTCGGACTGACGATTCGAGGGTCGGTAGAGCGAACATCCTCATCCCATTAACTATAAGATGATGAGAACCCACACTCTTAAAACAATCATTATTTAGCTTAACTGGAGGGGTTTAAAATACTAATTACTATATACCTATAATATTAGATACTGAATATTTAGGAATTTAATACTATAGACGTGACATGCAACTCGAGTCCCTGTCCCTGCAGACTACAGACTCTATCGACCGATAGTATAGTTCGGTTACTGCTAGTGCGCTCAATAGGCCAACAAAACGTGCCTTAATGTAAACCAAGCGAGAGATAAAAAAGTGTAATCAAGAGTAGATATTAGGTACATACAATGGTAGTAGTAGTAATAGTTGCAACAATTTAAAATGTAGTTTGATGTACTGTCGACTGTACATCCCATCTACAGTAATGGGTACAGGGGAGTTTTACATTACATGGTCGGCCGATGAAACAATCGGAAAGTGTGCGTTCTTGGAGGAGCGTCATATTGATCAAGCGGTCGGCCGATAATTTAGTTTGAAAACAAAACTCCAATCGAACTTTTTAATCGGCCGATATTGTATCGCTGTAATGTGCGCATTTCCGTAGCTTTTCATATTGATTAAGATGGCAACCAAAATATCGGCCGACAGAAAGTCTAGTCTTGAGGGACTCAATGTGAATGAATCATACATTTAACCAGTTTCGCGTGTCAGGTTTAGGGACATAACCATATAAGAATATGGATCCTATAACAAGTGCTGTCCCAAACGCAAATTGTATCGTCAACACAAAATTAAACAAATATATCGAAACAACACAAGATATCAATATCGCCACAGATGTTGCAAATCCCTTGAGAATGTTGTCAGCATATTTAACTACTACCGCAACTAATAAGCCACCGGCTGCCTGTAGTAATACCAAATACCAAACGAATCCGTCGAATCCTTTGAGTAAATCTCTAATTGACCATTCATTGTTAAACAGATAGGTAATTGTGCCAAATGGTAGAGAAAGTAAACTCAATTGCACATTCCTCATCCAAACCTGAAACAAAACAGGATTTTTAGTGCGACAAAATTCTATGTAATTTAACATACATATAACTTTTTTCTTGGTTCTTGAGGTAGGTAATGGTGAATCTCGTAACGTTTTAGTTAAAATAGGAAAAAAAGAAAAGGGGGGTGGAAAATTAATTCCGTAAATATTATGGATGATGGCAAATCAACCCAGTTAATAGAAGCGCTAGGCAACAAAACTAGGCACCTTTAACGATATTCCTATGTACCCTCGACTAATACATATAATTATACATACATAAATTACATAATATAAAATATTATTATTACTAAATTTATAGATATTATGTATAATACTTACCGATACGTCGGACTCCTTGAGTACCTTCTCGAAATAAATTCCAGCAAATCCAGATATAAAGCATGCAGTTAATGCTGCAGCAAATCCAATTACTTTAGACTGGTTTTCTGAGCCAGAAGTTTGTTTTTTATCTGTCGATGATAGCTGCACAAGTGCAACGCCAGATGCTAACAGCGCTAAAGCACACCATTGCCATTTTTTAAGTTTCCTTTTCAAAACGATAACCGCGAAAAATGCTGTTGTCAACAACTTCAACTGATATGTGACCTGAAAAAATGAATAGCGTTATTAGCTTAGTGTGACAACATCTCTAAACCGTGGTAAATAGCGGTTTTACGTGTCCAGCAAAAGCAGATAAATAACAGGAGTTTTAGTAGGTCTAGTTTGAATCAACGATACACGATATCAAATACCCTACCTAGATACAGTAAATATACTGAAAATTGAGTGCCTGTTCAAAGTCGCGAGCGCATTTGCGTTTGCGTCGTTAATTCAAATTTGCTCCAAATATTTTAATTGATTTTAAAAGAATGGGGTGTCATGTCGCGTTTGCATAACAACAATACAGTGTGAGTCACGTTAAAGTGTACATATGAAAATAGATGAAACTAGACCTATTTTTATCGACAAAAAAGAGGTCAAATTTGAGATTTTTTTTTAATTTTTCATAGATTTTTTTTTCTTGCAATTACTTATTGTAAAGATAATTAGTTAACTAAAAAGCAAGAAATAAGTAAAATTTTATAAAAAAAAATAAAACCGACTCCAAAAAACCTACACTAAAACGTAGAAAAATAATTACTAATTACCTACTTATTTATTAGGACGAATTATTAATATTTATGTAGGTATACCATGATTGATACTTCTGGAGTCGGTGCCAAGATTATGAAACATGTAAAGTTTGCCTGCACCGACTCCAAAAGTATCAATCATGGTATACCTACATAAATATTAATAATTCGTCCTAATAAATAAGTAGGTAATTAGTAATTATTTTTCTACGAAAAAAAAAAAAAAAAAAAACGGGTCGAATTGAGAACCTCCTCCTTTTTTGAAGTCGGTTGATAACTTTTAAACTAAGCGGTATATCCTGATAAAATAAAAACAGTAATAATGCTTAATAACAGGCGATACTAAAAAAATACATAAAATACACAAAAAAGGCCAACAAATAATAAAAAATGATACTTTTTGAAAAAAAAACTGCTTTTAAATTCGTGTTTTTTTGGTTATTTGATAAATTTCTCCAAAAAATGCCCCTATAACCGGTGGTTTTTACTACTTTGTATTATTCTCTATCGTATTAACTTCGTAAAACCAAAAATCGCATGTCTCTATCCCTATCACAACATTTGCAATGATCGTTTGAACTAAGCCTCTCCGGGCGCGTTATTCAACGCTTCGTTAACAACGAAACTGAAAATGGCTCTAGATTTGTAATTTAGATACAGACAAGTTAAATTTCAAATAAAAACAAAAGATTTCAAAGTAAAATAAGCATTTTAGTTAAAATTAAAATTTTCTCTACCTGCAGCGGAGAATAATGTTGTGGCAGGCCTTTGTTCAAACGCTCATAGCAAATGTTGTGATAGGGATAGAGACATGCGATTTTTGGTTTTACAAAGATAATACGATAGAAAATAATAAAAAGTAATAAAAACCACCTGTTATAGGGGCATTTTATGGAGAAATTTATCAAATAACCAAAAAAACACGAATTAAAAAGCAGATTTTTTTCAAAAAGTATCACTTTTTATTATTTGTTGGCCTTTTTTGTGTATTTTATGTATTTTTTTAGTATCGTCTGTTATTTAGCATTATTACTGTTTTTATTTTATCAGGCTATACCGCTTAGTTTAAAAGTTATTACGTTTTCTTTACAATAAGTAATTGGAAGAAAAAAATTCTATAAAAAATTTAAAAAAAATCTCAAAAATTTTTTGACCTCTTTTTTGTCGATAAAAATAGGTCTAGTTTCATTTATTTTCATATGTACACTTTAACGTGACTCACACTGTATAAAGAAAATATTGATTGGTCTGATATTATGTAGGTAGATAGGTAGATATGTATCGGAAGATTATAATTTAATTACACCTATCATTGAATTGATCTGTACTTACTTGATAAGTGGCAGCATCTAAATTTGAAGCTGACACGTACAGCAAGTTGTTTTGAATTATATAAAGAAATGATGGCACACAAACACGTAAAGTATCCTTGATGTTTAAAATTACTGTTGCATACATGGTATCAAAACCTTTTTTAACCCCACGAGATTCTTGTATTACAAGACCAACACAAAAAACTAATTTGAAGACTTCAGCCATCACAACAGCTGAAATAAAAAAAAACCTTATTAGAAGTTTCTGTCTTTTTCAGGTGAGTGTGGAGGAATAGATAATGGTCATACAATTGATATGTTATTTTGATAACTATCTGTGTTCAATCACAGTATCAAACCATTTTAGTGATGGCATACGTACACATATTGCTACAGCATAATGAGTTTCTAATTTGCTGTCTTAGCAACCAAAAACTAGCTTCACCAAATCACTGATTGACTACTGTCTCTAAATCTCACCCATTGCACCCATTATAGATATTGCAACATAACCATGTTTTTATCATGAACACAGAAAATCAGAACTTAAACTTCCTGAGTTTTAATAAGTATGCCATCCATGAGCCACTTCCTGCACAACATGTTATCTAGGGCATTGCTGCCATATCATTTATTTTTGCAATTTTAATATATTTTATGCGGAATCCATTGTCAATGTATAATATCTACAATTTTTTATACAAAAAATAATTTATTACCTGCTGCTGAAGAAAACATTTCTACTTCTCTTGTACGTGCATATCGCATACTTAGTCCCAATGCAGCATTTTGTACTGTAAGCACTACAAGACTTACATATTTTATATAACCTGGAATCAGAAGTTATAAAATAATTATAATTTCCAAATTGTTTTTTTTTAATATACAGAGTAGTTGCAGGTTTTCTCTACATTCAATTCCAAAGCTTCTGTTTCTTTGAGTGAATATCTTTTTGTTCTAAATAAAGCTCTTTATAATATTTAATACACTTTATTTAAGTTTGACCAGAGGCCAAAATTTTTTTATACTTTATCCAAATAGTTTTGCTACCTCGCAATGACGTATCCTGGAGGCACGAACCTAAAACAGAGCGGATCTCTAGATTAGCTCTGCTCTATTTTGTAATATAGATACCATTTTCCTATTTAAACCTTATATGATTAATGGAATTAAAGAAAGCAAATAATTAGAACAACCAAAAAGATTTATTGCTAAACAATTACCTATATCTTTGATAGTTAAATCTATAAAAGTTACTATCTTTCAATTAATCAATCAGCTAATAAGTAGGTAAGTATTACTAATAATTATCACATTTCAAATCAGGAATTTTTGCTTTACAATATGTTTATCAATAAATTGTACAAAATTATGAAAAGATAAGATGCTTCCTTACCATGCTTAACTTGTCGATTTGGGGAATATGTTTGCGACTTTTTAGTATCATTATCCATAGTTTCAGATGTTAGCTGACTGTCCTCAGTCTCCACCTTTGGGGTTGCCAAAGTCAGCTGACTGGTCTCAGTCTCTTCTACCTTTAGGGTTTGATCGTCAGCTTCACGTTCTGTTTTATCTCCTTTTACAGTTACAAGTTCGGTTTCTTCAAGAATGTCACCGACTTCTGGATTACCAGCAGATTTCATGGAAAACTTAAAAAAATAAATAATTCCAAATACTATAATGTCACTGAGATATAACAAAACACAGAATTTTAAGATAAAAATACTCACTATGATAGTTTTGGTTCTATAATGATGAAAAATAAAATAGCGGTTTTCTAAATTTTTTACTCTTTGTAAACTTGGTTTTTATACAAATATCGTATCTTTTTTTCTTTGCATTATTATATTGAGATCCAAGTCAATGTAATATTGACAGTGTTATAAATGGTTTATTTGTATTTGAGTTACTTTTTTAACCACATTTATCTTGAAATTGAATGAAAGGATTTGAAAGGAATTATACTACACATACAAAAAATGTTGACGTCGACTGACTATGTAGACGTTACAACTTTTTCTTTAAAACTTCAAAAGATTGAAGGCTTGCACTTCTTGCATTTTGCCAAACATTTCCGATTATGTGACGATTATAAACGAGACGAAAATATAAAAATGCATAGACAATTAAATCAATAAAGAAATCGGTTGCTCCTTTATAGATGACCCACGCTGAACTGTCCCACCAAACTCAATGACAGGGGGGCGCTACCATCGTTCAACTATATGGTTTCCAACATGGCAAAAATCGGAACCAGCGATCCGGTATTGACGGTGGCGCCCCACTGTCAATGTCATCGATAGGACAGTTCAGTATTTTGGAACTATAGTCGAGTTTTTATCAAGCGATTTGACTTTCTTTGAATTTGATTGTTTCGAGAATCGAGTATTCGAAACGAAGGCTTTTAGAAATGAGGACTATCGTTTTTATACTTAACAGTTGGCACCCCTGGCGATTGACAGGACCTTACTCTACAGTGGCGCCATCTTGATGAGTGCAAATGCGATAGTCCTCCTACCACTTTAGCGCTCACAAGTTGGGCGCCACTGTCTTCGCTACTAGCAAGTGACAGGACCTTACTCTACAGTGGCGCTAACTGGTGAGCGCTAAAACGATAGCCCATTATAACTGTCACGTTGTGCTGTGCCTTTTCAACAGCGTTGCCAGACGTCCCGATTTTTTAATCAAATTTAAATGTCTCGCGCGGGATAGGCTCGGTCCCGCTTTTCGGAGAGAGACACTCACTTCACCAGACTATTGTTTGAAACGCCATATTATTCTAAAGAATAAAACTTTTTCAACCGACTTCAAAAAAGGAGGAGGTTCTCAATTCGACCCGTATGTTTTTTTTTTTTTTGAACAAATCTTTTTTCGGCGTATAGGTAATACCTCAAGGGTGGTCCCATTTAAATTTAATAATAGAAAAAACAACCCCCAAGGGTGGAAAATTGGGGATGAACTTTTTTATACGCAATATCTCCGCCGATTATAAATCAATTTGAACGATTATTTTTTTGTTGAATAGGTATTATCAAAAGGGTGGTTTCATGCGAATTTGAAGAAAATATTTCACCCCCAAGGGTGGAAAATTGGGGATGAACTTTTTTATACGCAATATTTTTAATTTTTAGTATTTTTTTGTGTTCACGCATTTGAAGTCGGTTTTATTTTTTTTAAAAGTTATTTAATTTCGATTTTTGTTTTTTTTTTTCTTTTTTTATTCTAAAGACGAATTTAACGTTAGAGTAAATCTGATTAAAAATATTATTTTTTTGTTAAAATACATTTTCTATGGCTACTTTTGCTATCTATTGTCACGTAAATGTAATTTTACGTCAAATAAAAAGATAAATATTTGAAAACCTTTGATTATATACGTTTTTTTACTATGTCCCGCTTCTAACGGAAGAATCCCGCTATTTTCACTCAAAAAGTACCAAAGTCCCGACTTGGCGAAAAAAAAAAACTGGCAACGCTGCTTTTCAACCTCTTGCCCAGGAGAACAGGGTCTAGTCTAGACAAAGTGCACAATAAAATCGCAAACCAGTCGAAAAATGGTCGAAAGGTCTTTTTTGTGTGGAGTTTTGACGGATTCGATTATCAAAAAGCTAGTTGACCACCCCTGCAAGCGCGATTCGTGTGTGGATTCGTGAACATGTCCCGAGGCGATTTCGTTACGATTCATTTATGTGTGTGTTGCAGTAAGGGGCATGGGTAGCATAGGAGTTTCATAGAAAGAATCAAAGATTATGAACGGCTCGAGTTGATAATTATGATTGCGATCCCTTTCTGAGTTGACAAGTTTAGTGTGCTTCGAATTATTACGTGCTCTGAGCCCCGATTACGGTAACTTTTATAACGTCTACAATCCAGACGCGTTTCTGATTCTGCGATACGATTGGTCAAAACAGCTGACGTACGCTGTTGAACGACCAATCGTATCGCAGAATCGAGAAGCGTGTCTGGATTGTTGACGTTAAAAATTACCGTAATCGGGGCTCTGTGCTTCGACATTGGCTGTCGATAGGTTAACTATCGATACTACGGGTAGCACTACTTGACAATTTGACTGACAGACAGTGACAGACCATGACCGATTTTGACATTACGTAACAGGATTTCTAGGGCTTGCATAAAAATCAGCGTAAAATTTGTTAAAAATGGGTCTACATTTTGGTGAACTTGCGAAAATCCGTGGAATCATTTCATACAAGATTTCACCTCACGAACAAAGGGCTTATGCAGGAGCTATTTCCAATGGAATACCCAATATCTTCCGGAGATTTCGTGAAAAGGTTTTCATAGTTGCTCCACGTAAGTTTTTACCTCTATCTATAGTTTATAATTTAATATCCGAATATGTAAAAGTTTTGCTAATTTCTCATACTAGGGGGTTGGTGGTTGCAATCGAGTAACATTTTATATAATGATAAAAGTTTTCGTTATTTCACAAACGAGAGTGAATCAATATCAATTTGAGGAACTCCAAATCAAATCCAGTTTTGTCCCTATTATTAATTTGTACTTGATAGCAAAGAAAAAGTTTACAGTAAACATTGAAATCAATGGAAAAATAATCTGATAAACCAAACTTTATAAAAGTAAAAATCTTCTTGATTGTTATTTCATTTTCTTAAATTCCTAATTATTTCGGCTCATTATAATTTAGAACTATATTTAACTAACCTATATTTAGGCTGAGTTGTTTGCGCGTGAACTTTACCGCAATACTAAATTCGCACCTCAGCTGGAACACCAATGTATTGGAGACGTTAAAAAAAAGCGCAATCGGGGCACTGGTGCGTTTTGTATAGAGTTCGATAGTTTTTTGGCGTTTGGATCGTTCAACTCAGCCTGAGATATTTATTATAATGTATTGTTAATCACTGACAGCTATTTTTCAATTTTGCACATATTTACATCTTGTTTTATATAATTTTATTAAAGAGTTCTGCCTGATTCTGTTGCCAATTCATAGTTGATTGATAACCTGTTTTAATCACATTTTCTTTTGTTTTAGCTTTCATCGTTGGATATTTGGTTTATGAAGCTGTTGAACGAGAGCATCATAGGCTCTCCCGCAAAAACCCTGCTGATTTTGAAAATGATCAATAAGTATTTTGAATTGATACATCTGTAGTACATTATTAAATTTATTGTTATGTAAGCATTTCTTGTGATTTAATTTAGAATGATGGATGGTGGATTAGAATGATGGTGGGTGAATGTCTTAGTCTCCTCAAATTATGAAAACCACATGGAAACCTATTTGGTAGGTTTTTGAATATCACAGTCAGATATAGACAGACAGTACTGTTTTATTAAAGTTTAGTGATTTACCTAGTTGCTTTATAACTTTGTTTTACAACAAGCAGCGGAGATTTGGGTCATTTTTGTAAATCAATATTATTCCGAGGTGCCCCCAATGGGGGTGACACGTACGAGAGATAGAGATGGGTTTCCACCCGGGTAAAAACCCACATGAAGGTAAAAACCCAATAAAAACCCGTTTCATTCCACCCGTGGGTGTTTACACCGGGTGAAAACAAATAATTTTATAATTATTTCAATTGGTATCTTTTCTTTATTTTTATTGAATTTTTCTCATTTAAGTTTATTGATTAATAAGTAATAAGTCAAATTTAACACTAATATGCATTTATATCGTGGCCAAATCGTAAAATTGATCAGGTTATGATGATATTACATAGAGTTAATAACTCTTTACATAGAGTTAATAATTTGACTTATTACTTATTAATCAATAAACTTAAATGAGAAAAATTCAATAAAAATAAAGAAAAGATACCAATTGAAATAATTATAAAATTCTATGTGATATTATGACCAATTATTTTATAAAATGGTGTTATTTCAAGAATCGTTGAACCGATTTAGAAGAAATTTAGTAGGAACACAATAATTTGTGATCATGGCAAGGACATGGAGGGGGGGGGGGGATGCCAAAGATGCCAAACTCTCTCTTTGATGACATTACGGTATAAAGTTACAAATAACAACACCAACTACAAAGTACTTCTGCTTAAAAACTTGAAATCGAACCGCCCTTCCGCCACTGTAACGCATTGTAACGTTTTTCAAGACCCCTCTCCCCCCAGATTGCATTACGTAACACTAGAACGCCCCCTTAGCAACAAATACCACTTCTCACTTTAAAAAAACGCTATTTTTGTTTTCACCCACCAGAATGGGTGATAATGGGTAAAAACCGGGTTTTTACCCAAATCACCCAGTTTTAACCCAATCGGGTGAAATGGGTTTTTACCCACTACCCATCTCTAACGAGAGAGGGCTGCTTTTATGGCGGATTTACACTATGCGGAAATTAGCCGAGTCAATTAAAAAAATCAGAGGAGTGGGGATGAAATTCATTCATTTTTCATCCCCACCCCACTGTTTTTTTTACTTGACTTGGCTAGTTTCCGCGTAGTGTAAAAGCAGCATGTGGATTGTGGATTGCATCCATGTGGGTGGGGCTTATTTATAGCAATGTTACGGTAAATGTGATTAATATGAGATATTAATCTAAGGTGTTATAGGCATTATGGCAAAGTAATGTTATTAAGTTACGCAAGAAACAGTCCAAACTCATTTTGCCAAATTATATTAATATATGATATCAAAATGTGAGGCTGTACATGAGCGCTGTACACAAGCCGGTGTTCTCTTATGATATTTGTTAAGATTAAGGTTACATTATAAAATAATTACTGATGAATGTCGTTAATTTATCACTTTTACCTCGCCTGTTGGTAATTATTCATAATAACCGGCGATTATTATTAATTTTCAATCTATAGGCAATCAGCACAACTACACACCCAACAGCTGATAAAATTGCCTTTATTGCGGCCATGTTGTTTTCACAAATCGTGTATTTATAATGCGAGTAAGTGTGTGCGTAATGTATGTACCGAACACGTTTATTTTAAAGTTATGCCAAGTCCATGA